AAGGGGGTCATGTTCAACATTATATCTGCAAAAACAGATGTGGTGACAACAGAAATGGAGATGATATCTAGCCAGATACACATCAACCAACCTGCCGACAGCAGAGGACATGTTACAGAGAACAATGAAGATGATCCTGCAATGGACAAGCCAGAAATGGTGGGAACATACAGCAAAGAGCAATGTACCACCCCTTCAACTCATTTGAAGCCTGCCATGGAAGTGACAAGAGGTCCAGCAGATCACCCACCTCCTTCTGGCAGGAAAGACTTCCCTAACTTAACCATCGGGACAATGGTCTTAAGGAGGAGGTAATGTTACAATTTTTCCTATTTTCTTTTCTTTTTCCTTGGAAATGACCCCTATCTCTGCTTAGTCAGGGTGCTTAGGCTAGCACTTAGGACCATGGGAATGCTTAGCTCAGCAACCCAGTCAGTCACTCTCCTATCATGTTGCTGTGTGCTGTGAAGGGAGAGACAATGTCCCTTTTGTCCTCCAACTGCAGTGCAGCAGTAACAGCACAACCACAAGACAACAGCTTTTGTGGAGAGCCTGGCAACAGCAGGGGTAACAGCTCTATGACAGACAATATCTTTTGTGAATAGTTATTAATAGCCAAATAACAGAACAGTATTTAAGTAGTTTAGTTCTTGCTGTAATACTCCAGTCTCAAACTAAAGTTTATTCTCTACCATTCTACCTTGAGCAACTTGCAATGCCTTGGCCACACACCTCTATTGACACATCAGTGAACTCAGTCAGTCTAACCCAAAGTGCGAGATTCTGAACTGTTTATCACATGTTGATAGTCACATGGAGTTTGGGCTTAACACTTTGCTACCTTGAGGTTGACCATGCCTATGCTATATACCACAATAAAAGAACTTCTGCTGTCTCAAACAACTTTGGGAGAAATAAGATTGAGCATCAAGAATTCTGAATGATCAGAAGTGATGTGAGTAGTCACTGCAGTGTCCAGAAAGTATGAATATTCTTCTATTGATATACTGATGCAAGATTTTTGGCTCAGTGGCATAGTGATCATAGCAGCTAAGTTCAAGTCTCTTCTCCTCTCATTCCAGTCTATAGTTGCTTTGATTTCATTTTCAAAGACAAGCCATTCTTCATATTCAATGGCTTCAGATTCTGAGAGTGGGAAGAGTGAGTCAAGAAATCCTGGAGTGATGATGTCTGATGCAAGTGTGGTGAACTCTTTCTTCTTTAGATTGAGTTCTGGCAATGTTACAGGAGTCACTGATCCTGAGATAGAATTGAAAAGGTATACTTTTTCAGATCCATCTTTAATAACTGACAGTGTTGGCTTCTTTCCTTTATCTCCTCCTCACTTTGCCTCATGATTATGATGTTTTGCTGCCTTAGATTTCTCAATTGACTTTTCTTCCATGTCTCTCTCTTCTGAGATGCAGTATGAAATTGTATGTCCCATTGGTGAAAGGACATTTCAGGTTTATGCAGGAATTTAGAAATAAAGTTCCTTTTGGCTTCACAGAAATTGAAGCTCTGTTCATCATTGTGGCTAGAGCAATGTCACAGACCTTGGAATTGTCCATATCAAAGAGTTGTTGCTGAGTATCAAGGTTATATCAGATGGAAGACAAAGTTACAGGGACATCCTTAGTGGAACAGTTGATGAATTGAGCAATAGAAGTTCAGACAGAGGCAAGCTCCCCAGAAAGAGTGTTCAGCATGAGGATGCATAGGAATAAGTTGGGCATGGGGAATTCTATGTTCCATATGTGAGTATTGATCTCAGTCAGCTTTGATATCATAACAGAGAGCTACTCAGAGTGTAAATAGCATATATTCAATGCTTTCTGAATTAAGTTTATCTGGATGATTGATCCTTCCTGTTCATGATGCTCCTTTAGTGCTTTCCATGCATTTTTTGCTGACTGATGCTTGCTCAGAAAATCCTTTTCAGCTTTAACAGCCTTCAGCTTCATGAAAGAAAGTATAGCACAGTCATTCATCTGCCAGTTCTGATAGGCTTGTGGCTCATTAGACCTATCTGAGCAAAGAAGAGTGTTATTGATGTGGCTGTTGATGCTGCCAGACATAGTGAGGCAGCCTAGAAATGTGTTGCTCCATTTATGCCAATTGTTGACTTTTTTGTCAAAATTACTGCAATCAAAGAGGTTCATTTGAATGCTGACAACAGTGATAGATAGTTTAGTTGCATTAGTGATAAGAGCAGTTTGATTTGAAGTGGGAGAAGAGCTTATAGTTGGTGGTGTAGTAGGGGGGTTGATCATAGTGGCTTAATGGCTCAGTGGCTTGCAAGTCCAACAATGAAAGAGAAAATCCATGAATGATATTCAGAAGAATGTCAAAAATAGATAGGCACTTGTTGTAGTATTGGATCATTACTCTCAGCTTCAGAGCTCAAGAAATACACCTATAACCTGTAAGAATCTGAACCTAAACAAAGTTTACTCAGTCTTGACATGTTGTAGTGCAAACAGACTGAGAGAAAGAGAGGTGCATTGATTGATGCACTTTAAATAGGCCAGTAAACAAAGATACCACTTGGGCTCTCAGTGAATCCTAAAACAATTGCACACCAACAAATACCATATTGTAAAGATAGTATACAAGTTTCTGACCCCCCAGTGTTGCAATATAAAAGCATAAAGGCCTTATGCTCCAGCTCCTGGGATTAGTTTGTAACTTCAGATGAGAGAATAGACCTTTTATTGAGATCATTAAGAGTGATTTGAGAACTGTGGAAGACATCAAAAGATTCTGCAGGATTTCAGTCTGAGTTAATAAATAGTTTTGAATTGTGCTTTAGTCTGAAAATAAGAGAGTAGTGTCTGAAGGGCACTCTTTTGAGTTTTTGAGACATTTGTGACATGAGGCACTACAGTCAGCAGAGGTTCAAACCCTTTGGCTTGATTAGTGCTCACTTTTTGGTTATTTCTGCAGATTGTCAGAGGTTTGAACCCTTTAAGTCTGTGGACAGGGTTTTATTGTGTTTTTGTGTCTTTGGATCATATAGATTTGAACTCTATGAATCTATAATCAGTTTGTAAACTTGTGCATAGAGATTCAAACCCTTTGGTGCTTGTGGATGTGTTTGTGAAGTGTTTCTGCTTAGAGCACAAAGCTTTAAATCATATATTGTGTTTGTTAGAGTTTTGGAGTTTTATCTGAGCAGTGCTTAGGACTTTTTGAGGATTTTGTGGAAGTGTTTTGAAGTTTTAGATTGTGGTACAGTAACCTTACCTTGAGGCCCAGCAACATTCATTGCCTCTCTTGTTTAAACAAAAAGCTTTGAGACTTAGAGAGATCTCAGATATATATACATGCACTATTGTGATTTGCATACAGTGGATCATTGAGAATACAATTATATTGCTATTACTACTCTTTTCACATTATAATCCCTCAACAAACTAAGAGTGTTGTGTGTATGTTGGTGTGAGTGTGATCAGTGAATAGTTCTCTGCCATATCAGTTTCTACCTTGCACATGCAATCTACCTCTTCACCATGTTGTGGTAGATTAGTTACTGATATTTCTTTAAACTCTCCTGTCAAGCATCAGACCAACAATGAGTTCACTTTGTTCAAGGTCCTGACAACAGAGCTTCAAAAGGATAGATCAGAAGAAATAGAGGGTCACTAGATTGGGCCTATGCCCATTGAACTTTTTCTCAATGACTTTTTGGGAGTACCTGGTGACCAATTTATATTTCAGGTGCACCTTCCAATTGATCCAATCATCTGCACAGTATACCAGTGAGAGGGAGTACATAAAAGCCATCATGAGTTTTCTGAATTGTAGTTCTTGTTCATTGTTTTGACAATGCTCTACAGAACACTGCAATTCAAACTGCAGCTTCAGAGCTTATAGCCAACTTCCAATTTGTTCTTGGAAATGAGCACAAGATGCCAGCTCAACCACTAAAGCTTGTGGATTCCTGTGGATGAAGATATACTTTGCTTGTTATCTTGCCCAATGAACACTCAGTGCCATGAAAGCCTGTATTCTATCATTGATTAGATGCTGCACAATGTCCAATATGTATAATATCCAGATGTTCTCTGACACAGCTTGATAGAGACCACTGATTATAATGTGGTCTCTAGATAGTTCAATTCAAGATCTGTGAACAATTAATTGCTGAAAGCCTATTCAGATTGTTGTTGAATGTCTATGAGAACAAAGGTCATACACAGATCACAAGATGTTGCAAATGACTTGTTTAATGAGCTGCTTCAGATAGCTCACAAGAGTTAAGTATATATTATCCAGTGTCATAAGATATCAAAAATACTGCTAGTGGAGTGATAGTGCTGTGGCATGACAGGAGCTTTACAGCTTTAGCACCTCAGGATAATTTCACCTGCATCATTTCTTGATCCATAGAGATAAGGGGGACTGATATGACAGGATTTCACTCCTTCTGTCTGAAACTGACTGGATCCCTGTGAGAATGTCACCTGTGTGGCAGAAATGTCCTCGTATTGCCTAGTGTACACATCGACTTGGGGCATGCAGACTTCTCTAGGTAAACAGCATTTGTGGACAATACATTAGTACTTTTGTCATCAGCTTGGTGTAGTTTACTGTGATTGACAGACCAACAAACACCTGTGTCATAGATCTGATCCCATGGCCACCATGTGAGTCATCCATTGATTGGGCAGATCTGGTCATAGATATATGGACCTAAAAAGCATCATGGTCTACTCAGATGTGCTCATATGCCAAGCAGCCAGGGCACTGCATGGAGATGTGAATGATGGGAAAAAAAACAAAACATTTGCAGTCACAAAGGGGATAGAGAGCAAGTAAACTTTGGATAAATAGCATTTATTCTGTTTTTGCAATGTGGAGAGAAAGCAAGGGGAAAAGATCCAAAGCAATAAAGATTTTTGGAGCAATGAATGAGTCTATTCTAGTAGCTTGCAATTGCATAGAACAAGGTCTACCATTTCTCCCACTCTACCGCCCTCTGCTGAATACTGATATAATCAGACAATACTGCCACCAGACAACTGTGTCGCATTTTGACGACAGAATCCATAAGTTGCAACATTGTCGGCCTTTGTTCCAGATTCAACAACCGCATTTGAGCAATCATCGTGAGGAGGAAGATTGCCATTCACAAAGTTGCCTTCAGGAATGATCTGTTCACCTGCAATTTATGTTCAGCATTACCGACAATGAAGTGGAAACTTGAGCAATTACCTCGTTAACTTTGTCGATGTACTGAGAATGTCATCATGTAAAAGACAGCTGTACAGTGGTAGTACTATGCACCTCATCAAATGCTTGCATCTGAATTGAGATCAGAACAGAAGATCATAGAAAATCAAAATTTGGAATACTAACAATTTGTTCACTCTGGATGGTATTCTAGAGCAAAGATCAGAGTGCTAGGTTGAATACAGAATAGATGTTATGCCAACCTGGGCAAAATACTTTCTGAACATGTCATCAAACAAAAAATCTTCATGTAAGGCCTTGAGATGCTACACGGAAGTGTATCAGAACATCACTGCCATGATTTAAAAAGAAGTCTACCTTCTCTATGAAACCTTTGACTTCCCTATCCATGTCAGCATTAAGCATCTGACCTAGATACCACATATCTGCCTTAAAGGGACAATAGGGTTCATTGACAAGCATTTCCAGAGCATATTCTCTAGCATATTCTCCAGCCCTACCCACATATTCATTAGATAGGCCAGTGAGTTTCCTGCTCGAAGGGTCTGAGTCTTCATCGAAACAAACTGCGGTCTTGAAATCATTGATATAGTATCAAATAGAAAAGTGAGACTAAAATAGCCCAGAGATATTAGGTTCCAAAGTCCCATCGGGTTGCTTTCGAGCTCCTGTGGTATCATAAGTGAAATATAGACCACCAATGGCATAGCATGTATGAGATGTGCAATCAAGTTGTCATGACAGAACTTGATGCCCTGGAAAAAAAGAGCAGGGGGTGGGTTCACTTATACTGTGGAGTGCCTTGATAGATATCGCACCTTGAATACCTGCATCAAATAATCCAGTATCTTGGCTATGTTGTAGAACCATGGCATGTATGTGGCACTGAAGAAAAGCAGAGGGAAAATGATGAATCTAAGTCTATTGAATTCAAGCTCATTCAAAAAAGGAAGAGTATAATTGTCTCCTCAAAAAGCAGACTGTCCTGTGGAGAGCTGCTGGAGGGCTTTGTAATGCTCATCTCCTGTAGTGTTGCCATCGATACTGATGAGGTGAATGAGAATGTCCTGATTATGAATGGTGCATGCCAGACAGTGGATGTTATTCTGAATACTCTGTAATAAGCAGACTGAACTGTGAAAATACAAAAACTGAAACATACAAGTTGGCCAAAGTCTGGTTTGTAAATGATAATACCAGGCTCGCATTGATAATGAGTCAAGAAGGTGAAACCATCAGGGTGATGAGGTTCATCATTGGATAGAGTTAGCATTAGATGATGGTGGTCCAAGTCTCCTCAGCCCCATTCATACAGAGTTACCCACAATGTGTAACTATGTTCCTGAAAGAATTTTTAAAGTGGCTCAGGTTTCCAGAGGTCATATGGTTGACTACCCTCCAGCTTCCAGCATCTGTCATACCATTCTTGTATTGTCTTAGGCCATACAAAATGTGTCATAGATCGCTCACATGGAAGGTGGTCAATAAAGAGGGTCACTAATGAACTTTGGCACACCTTTAAAAGATTAAAACTCTATCTTATTAAGATTGGGGGGTTAGTACAAATTCTTTGATTGACAAATGAAACAACCTCATGTGATAGGTGCTGTGGGGTGGAACTTCTGGACTGGAACTGCTCTCCTGAGCCATAACCAGATGTTCGGCCCATTTTCTATTAGATTGAAGTCTCTCAATTTCACTAGGAGCTGGAACTTGAAGTGTTCAGCTGTGGGTTCCTAGAAGCTGCAGAGTGGATGCTATCTGGAGTCCTACCAAACATGCTGTTTTGCAATTGTCTCAATTCTGCTTGATGCTGTGACTCATAGACTTGGGTATCTTCACATGACATGGCTGCTATTCAGACTGTAAATGTGCCTAAATGAACCTGTTTCTCGATGAGAGCCTTGTTAGATTAGCAATAGGTCTTTAGTTCAGTTGAAGAACCTGAAATTAGTCAAGCACTTCGGATTCTGATTGTCTGATGACCCTGGCCACTTATCACTTGAGCCTTGAAGCTTGAAGGATACAGTAGGCACCTGTTCAGGTGGTGTTTCATTTAGAAACCTCTCTCATTATCTCTGCAATATATCTATTTAAAAAATGCAGCTATTTGGACACTTTTCAAGGCATATATGTGGCCCAGGACCATATAAATGTCACTATGGTGGGACATCTTATTACTCCCCATCAGTGTCTTTGTTCAAAAAGACTTCTCCCTCATTCTTGCAAATTGTCGGCATACTATGGTTGGCTTCATCTATATCCATCCCAATGGCTGGCATGTTGGGGAAAGGATAAACCATATGATACAGACAGTCAGTTTTATCATCTCTTGGATACCCTCTCTCAGTGTTTGATCAATCTATTTGACCAGCCTCTAGATATATGGCATCATGCATTATGTCCTACAGTTTAGTAATGGTGTGATAGTTCAGTGCTCTGCCACCACTTGTAGAGAGGTGTAAGTACCAATGTTATGATCAAACGAAGTGGACTTGGGCTTACGGTGTGCTTATAGGCCTGTAGAGACACTTCTGACCCTTCCTCCAAACTAGATGTCTCACAAGTCACAGAATCAGACACACCAACATTGCTTGTACCTTTCTATTGCTCAAGTCTCTTGCTTTCCTATGCAGCCCTACTTAGTTGTTCTTACCAAATGACAATCTCACCCCACTCATACTAAGTATCCTTGCTCATGTACTGTTTAAGTTAATCAAAATGTCATGGATGCACCAGGATCCTACATTAGTAGCTCAAGCTGTGCAATGTTGCAGGCATCCTGCATGTCGTTGACTTGGTAATTACCCTGGAGGAGATATGCAGCACAATAGCAGACATAGAAAGTTGCTCATGAAACAAACTATTTGCAACATCTTGTGGTCCATTGACATGCCCTCTCCATGTTCAGGCATGTAAAATTGCGAAAATTGCGAATACATGGACTGCATTCCAGTCCAGTAAGCATGTAACAGAAAATAGGACTAGAGTGCACAGAAACCTAGCTATCATAATGCTAAACTGAAGTAACAATAAGCAGAGTGCATGGCCTAGTAACAGACTAATACCAGAGGGGTTAGGCTGCATGTGAGGTCCCAGCACTTGGCCCTAAATGTGCCAATACTATTACAAGAGGACATGCTAAAAATAAAAAGACTACAATCAAAATATGATCGGCAATTCTGATCACATTGATCAAAGATGCACAGCCATTGATGCACTGATAGGACATGCTTTAGAACAGAGAACTGAGACCCAAAGAAAGATATCTGAGTAAATGGGTATTGAATGGAGAAATAGAATGATGACAACAAAGTAATAAGTAGAGGAATATTACTCCAGGAATGAATAGCATGCATACTTATGGTGCCTTAGCACACATAACACAGCAAGAGACTCTGCATCATACTGAGAAATGGCACCTTTAGTGAGTCAGATAGAATGACTGGCTGGATACAGGGAAGCAGGACATAGCTATTGTGGCTGACTTCTGGCATGAGAGATAACCCTGGGGATCTGGAACAGTTTACTGCTGTCAGAGATGTCACTGGAGAAATAGGAAAGCAAGCAGACCTGATGAGGCCAGCTAGCCAATGTCAGCTAGTGAAGGAACAGCAGGCACAGCCCTCACCCAGAAGAGAATAAACATGGTGACTGCAATATGTGTGTGAATAATACTCATGGAATCTGGCATGGAGTCCCACACTTTGAGGATACTATAGTAGGATTGTATTAGTAAGTATCATAGTACAGTATTTAAATATGGTATTGTATGAGTAGAGTGGAAGTTTTCCAACCCCCCACAGTTGCAGTGTATTGGGCACAGAAAGCCTTGCACTCTAGCTCCGGGTTTGTGTTAGTAACTCCAGGCAAGAGAATAAACTTATTATTGAATATCATTGAGAGAGCTGTGAGAACTAAGTGGGGCATTGAAGCTCATGAAGAACTTGGGCCCAGTTTGATAAGAGGTTTTGGATTGCACTTTAACCTGAGAATAAGAGAGTGGTGTCTGAAGGGCATCATCTTGAGTTTTTGAGGTATTTGTGATGTGTGACACTACAGGTGGCAGAGGTTCAAACCCTTTGGCTTGATTAGTGTGTGCTTTTGTGTTATTTCCACAGATTGACAGAGGTTCAAACCCTTTGGTCTGTCAGACAGGGTTTTATTGTGTTTGTATCTCTGGATCACATAGGTTTGAATCCTGTGGGTCTACAATTGGTTTGGAAGCTTGTGAACAGAGATCTGTGCTTTTGGTCACTTGTGGATGTGTTTGTGATTGGTTTTTGCTTAGAGCATGAAGCTTTGAGTTGTGTATTGTGTGTGTTAGGGATTTGAGTTGATCTGAGCTGTGCTTGAAACCATTTGAGAGTTTTGAAGGAGTGTTTCGATGTATTGTATTGAACTGCAGTACCCTTTGCCTTGAGGCCCAGCAACACCAGTTGCTACCTCTTGTTTTGATAAAACAAAACATTTTGAGACTTAGAAAGGCTTCAGACAGTTGTAAGCATGCTATTACTGTTCACACACTGTGATCTCATTGAAGAAGACAATTATATTTGTTGATTGCTACTTTTATCACATTATAATCCCCCCATGAACTAAGAGTTTTGTGTGTGTGTTGGTGTGAGTGTGGACAGTGGATAATGCTCTGCTGTATCTGTTTCCACCTTGCATGTGCTCAGATCCTCTTCACTGTATATGACCCTTCTTCTGGTAGACTTTCAATGACAATCTGAGGAGATTCCAGTGACTGTATTGACCATGAACTTTTGATCAAACTATCTGGAGATCAAGCTATATTCCTCAATCTTTGTCTTTGTCAGGCATCTGGATATCATACATAGTATCGGGCATCATGCACCATCTAATGAATGATAGAATACAGGTTTTCACAATGATAATAAGCAAAGTATATCTTTGTCGACAGGAATCCACAAGCTTCACACAAAGAGTGTATCCGAGCATCGGTCTCATTTAAGAGATGAAGAAGTCAGAGTCAAGTCCATTCTAGCTGATGACACAATAAGCTCATTGTTGGCAATTTCATCTATGATATACAGCCAATTTCTACCACTTCTCTCACTCTACCGCCCTCCACTGAATACCAATATAATCAGACAATACCACTGCTGGACAACTGCATTGCATTTCAACAACAGAATCCACAAGTTGCAACATCGTCAGCCTTAGTTCCAGATTTGACGACCACATTTGAGCAATCATCATGAGGAGCAACATTGCCATTTGCAAAGTTGCCTTCAGGAACGATCCATTCACCTGCAATTTATATTCAGCATCTTCGACAATGGAGTGGAAACTCAAGCAATTACCTTGTTGATTTTGCCAATATATTGAAAATATCATCATGTAAAAGATGGCTGTACAGTAGTGGTGCTATGCACCTCATTGAATGCTTGCATCTGAATTGAGATCAGAACAGAAGGTGGTAGAAAATCAAAGTTGGGAATACTAACAATTTGTTCACTTTGGATGCCTTCCTAGAATAGAGCTCAGGGCATCAAGTTGAATACAGAATAGATGTTACACTGACCTGGGCAAAGTACTTTCCAAACACGTCATCAAACAAAAAATCTTCATGTAAGGCCTTGAGATGCTACAAGGAAATGGGGGTCAGAACAGCACAGCCATGATCTAGAAAGGAGTCTACCTTCTCCAAGAACCCTTTGACCTCCCTATCTATGTCAGCATTAAGCATCTGACCTAAATACCACATGTCTGTCTTAAAAGAACAATACGGATCACCAACGAGCATTTCCAGAGCATACTCTCTGGCATATTCTCTGATCCTATCTACTCAGACATTCAGTAGGCCGGTAATTTTCCTGCTTGAAGGATCCAAGTCTTCATCAAAACAAACTGTGGTCTTGAAATCATTGATATAGTATTGAATAGGGAAGTGAGATTGAAATAGCCCAGTGACATCAGTTTCTGTAGTCCCCACAGGTTGCATCTGACATCCTAGGAAGTTGAAAAGAATATTATCACTGTCAAGATCCTAGGGTTTCATCAGTAAAGTACAGACCACCATGGTCAAAGTGCATATGAGGTGTGCAATCAAGTTGTCATGACAGAACTTGATGCCCTGGAAAAAGAAAACAGGATTCAGATAAAGTACAGAATGTCTCAATGGACACCATACCTTGAATATTTGTACCAAATAATCCAGTATCTCATCCATGTTGTAGAACCATGGAATATCCCCAATGGAAAGCAGAGGGAAAATGATGAATCTGAGTCTGTTGAATTCAAGTTCATTCAAGAAAGGAAGGGCATAGTTATCTCCTCAAAAAGCAGTCTGTCCTTTGCAGAGCTGCTGGATGGCTTTATAGTGCTCATCTCCTGTGGTGTTGCCATTGATACTGATTAGATGAATGAGAACATCCTGATTGTGTATAGTGCACATGGCACAGTGGATATTTTTCTAAATGATTGGTAATGAGCAGACTGAACTGAAAAAATACAAAAACTGAAATGTACAAGTTGGCCAAAGTCCAGTTTGTAAATAACAATACCCAGCTCACATTGATAACAAGTCACAAAGGTGAAACCATCAGGTCAGCGAGGTTTGTTGCTTGCTGGAGTAAGTGTTAGATGATGGTGGTCTGAGTCCTCCAAGCCACATTCATACAGAGTTACCCATAAGGTGTAACCATGTTCTTTGAAGAATTTTTGGAGTGGCTCATGCTTCTAGAGGTCGTATGGCCAACTGCCTTCCAGCTTCCAGCATCTTTTGCACCATTTGTGTAATGTCTTAGGCCATTCAAAAGACAGGATGATAGGGTCAGGCACTGTGAGTGGATGAGAAGTATGGACAAGGAAAGAACAAGAATGGGTGGCACAGTCAACACACCACTCCTAATAGATTAGAACTCCTCATGATAATGTTTCCACAGTCATTTCTGGCATGATATAGTAAACATGAGTGCTACAAATGAGGGCAGTCACTATGAAGGACCTATGCAGATAATTATATGAGATATGTGCCTCTAAGCAGTAGTCTATAGGCTTTTGACACTTATGCATTTTTCTTCGGAGACTTTTTAACATTTGAAATTCCACTTCAGGCTCTGAAATTGCTCTATAAAAAGCAAGAAAGAAGTGGAAGAAAAGTGGTGATAGGAGACAAGTTAGAGTTAATGGAGCTGATGGAATCATCTGACCCCAATCCTGTAAGCAGACTCTGACAAGCCAGGAGAATCACCCCTTTCCAAGACATTGTCACTCTCACATCGCATGGCGATGTTAAATAATGGCAGTATGTTATATTGGTATCAACTTGATAAGTACAAATGGTATAGGCCATGAAATACTGCATATCTACTATGCATATTATCAAACATTGAGTGTCTTCTCATGTATTGCAGGAGACATATCTTTTGCATCTAGCACTGATACACCCCATTGTCGATGCTCCTCCTAACAGAAATGTCTGCAGAATGTCACATCTTAGCTCTGTTGTTGCTTCTTAGTTGACGAGAGGAGAGAGGAGGTTAACGATGGTGTTGGTATTGGTAGGAAGCTGAAAGTCTTACTACCACCATCATCTAACTCAGGGACTCTCCCCTCTCTGTGAGGTCCTTGGCAACTGGCTGGTCCCTTCTCACCATTGAACTTTATGAAACTACAAGAAATGTCTCCAGGACACCACAAAGGTCACATGAATTCTGAGGTAAGTAATCTCAGTATTATTCATTAATGTTTAGTGCTGACCTCTGATACAGATCAGCACTACGTAGTGTAACATACTTTTGCTCTATCTGCAGCAAGAAAAAATGGCCAACAATCTATTCACTCCCACCCACTTCTGTGCTCACATCACCTACTTCTCACTGTGGTGGCTGTAGCATATTGTATGGGCTATGGATAATGGACAAGCTGATTCTCAACCTACATTCATGGTTGAAAGAAATGTTGTGGATGTTAGACATTCAGTGTTGGAGAGCTCTCTACTTTCTTAGCGAACTTGAAGGACTATTTGGTCTGGTTTAGCCAGTTCAGAGGCAAAGATATGTCAGAAGGTGTGTCTTTTTTGGTATTTGGGTGCTCTCTGCAGCTCGCCAATGAACTTCTGTAGTTTACTTCATTAGTAATGAGGATATTATAATAACAGACTTACATGAGGATCACAAAATCACTAATATGAAGATTTTTATTTGATACATCATTCAGCACAGGGCACAGAAGCATTGAGCACTATCTGAGGAATTTTTAGTCTCCCCAACATAAACAGATCTCTTGACAGACAAGGACTAGAAAGTGGGAATAGCCTGGCATCATTTTAATATTCTCTAGAGTCTCTGCTCGCTGACCTTCAAATTTGTGACTAAGGTATAATGTCTGCATATCATTTGAAGTATGTGACTGTAGTCCAGCTCAATTGATGAATATTACCACTTTTTCCATTCCATGGCCCTCCTTTTAATACCAATGTATTCGGACAATACCACTGGAGAGTTGCTTTTCTGCAAAGTCGTGATGCAGTCTAAAAGTTCTTGGAGCAATGGTCTTTGTTCAGGTTTCGGTAACCACATTTGTGCAATCATGATGAGTAGAGAATATGCTATCCTTGTGGTCAGTAGGATGGAAGACCCATTACCTGCAATGCATAACATATGTGAATGGAAAAAGAAAAGAAAACACACTCACTTCAGTGCTTTTGTTCATGTACTGTGAAGATCATGTCATTAAGATATGTCACAGTGGGATTGGGATACAACATACCTCATCGAACACTTGCATCTAAGATTCACATTAGTATCAGATGAGAGACTAAGGGTAGGATGCGTATCATCTTTTCTGTTTCTAAGATGTCCTAAGAAGGAGTTTAGCATGTCAAAATCAATATGACATTCTCTGCTTGCCTAGGCAAAGTACATTCCAAATACATCATCAAACGTTGCATCTTCTCAGGCAGCTTTCAGTTGCTGCATGAGAAAATTAAGCATTAATACACTGTTGGTCCAAGACACACTCTTTATCTTCTCCACGAAACCTTTGACTTCTGTATCCATGTCAGCATTAAGCATTTGATCTAAATACCACACATCTGCCTTAAAGGGACAATATGGATCACCAACGAGCATTTCTGGCACATATTGTCTACTATATTCCCTAATCCCACCTACTTGGATGTTGGATAGGCTGGTAATTTTCCTGCTCGCAGGATCTGAGTCTGTGTCAAAACAAACTGTGGTTTCAAAATCATTGATATAGTATTGAATAGGGAAGTGAGATCAAAATGGTCCAGTGACATCAGGGTCCATAGTTCCATTGGGTCTCATTCGAGATATTTGAAAGTTGAAGAGAATATTATCACTATCAAGATCCTGGGGCTTCATGAGTGAAATATAGACCCCTCATGGAATAGCATGTACGAGATGTGCAATCAAGTTGTCATGACAGAACTTGGTGCCCTGGAAAAAGAAAATGGGTTTCATGTAAACTACTGAATATCTCGATGGATGCCATACCTTGAATATTTGTACCAAATAATCCAGTATCTCAGCCATATTGTGGAACCATAGTATGTATCTGCTGAAGGTAAGCAGAGGGAAAACAATGAATCTGAGTCCATTGAATTCGAGCTTGTTCAAGAGAGAAAGCAAGTAATTATCTCCTCGAAATGCGGTCTGTCCTTTGGAGAGGTGCTGGATGGCTTTGTAGTGCTCATCTCCTGAGGAGTCACCCTCAATGCTGACCAGACAAATGAGAACATCCTGATTATACATGGTGCATGCTGCACAGTGGATGTTATTCTGAATACTCTGTCATGAGCAGAAGGAACTAAAAGCAAACACTGTCAAATGCACAAGATGGCTAAAGTTCAGTTTGTGAATGACAATGCCAGGCTTGCATTGATAATGAGTCACAAAGGTGTAACCATCAGGTCAGCAAGGTTTGTCATTTGATGGCATAAGTGTTAGATGGTGGTGGTCCCAGTCTCCCAAGCCATGTTCATACAGAGTTACCCATAATGTGTAACCATATTCCTGAAAGAATTTTTGAAGTGGCTCAGGTTTCCAGAGGTCGTATAGCCAACTGCCCTCTGGCTTCCAGCATCTTTCATGCCATTCTTGTATGGTCTTGGGCCATTTGAAAGATGCTATGACAGGGCCAGGCAGTGTTGTTGGAGGAGATGTACAAGGAACAAACCAGAATGGTTGACACTGTCAATGCACCATGCTCAATAGATTAGAACTCCACATGGTTCAAATCAAGAGATAATGAGCCCACAGTCATTTCTAGCACTACATGAAGATTAGCATTACAAAGGATGGCAGACACAGTCAACTACCTATGATGACAACTCTTTAAGAGCTGTGTATATAATGTGTTAGGGCTGGGCACCATACTGTATATGGTATACGGCCATCAAACCAGGTCTCAGATAGCTATGGAACTATCCATATACCATACCATATTGTCAATTTGAATGCCTTGACGGTGTCCGAGTCAATGCAGGTATCTTATGGCTGTCTATGTCTATCTCTCTCTCATTCAATTACTTTAAGAACCCATCATCATTCTATATCTAACACCCATGTATGTTACACAGCTTAAGAACTACCACCTTTTCCATTCCACTGCTCTCCTTTGAATACCAATACAATCAGATAATGCCATCTGGGAGCCAAGCTTTCACAAGGCCAGGACTGAAATGCTGGGAAGTGGCACTAGAATGAATCAACAATGTGTGAGATGCACACCACCAAATCACTAACACCAAGTCACAATGCAGTTCAAGGGAGGAATGGCAACACCTGGATCCTCAGTATATAGAGAATGTAATGTTGATAGGGTGCAATAGAATGTAATTCAATGATATATATTGTGGTTTACTGGGACAAAGTTGTCTGTGTCACTGAACACAACAAAATCTATCTCAAACAGTCTGCCTGGTGCAGGTTCTGAACTGATACAATATGCCTGGTTGTGACTTATACACAAATACTGGCTGTTCTAAACTGTCTGACACAAACTTTCAGTTGCTTTCTGGAGTTCTTGGACAAAACAAAGTGATCTGGTCACCACAATACTATTCAAGTTGAGTCTATGACTCAAAGCTCTTAACACAACCCTTACTGTTTGCTTGATAGCATTCAGGGGGGGGGAGGGTCAGAAACCTGCTTTTCTCTATACATGACCTGGTATTTATACTTTCTAGCTACCCATGGCTGACTAACATAAACAACTACTGACTAATATGCTTGCTGATGCAGCCTGGGAGGCTAAACTCATTCTCTGACAGATATGAGCTCATTTGCATAGCCTGGAAAGTATGAGTTCATATGCAGTTGTTGGGCAGAGATGAGCTCATTCACAGCTAGCCTGATCAGACAACTGGACTCTACCCAGCCCTTACCAGTATGCTGATCATATGAATCCCCCAGGCCTGAGAATCTCCCTTGCTAATTGAAAGGCCTGCTAGTACCCTGGTTGCTATCAGATACTGAGGTGATACCCTTCAAGGGAGTTGGCCCTTTGCCAGGTAATTACTTGCTTATCATCTCTTACTGTGGCATAGAGTGACTAATCTGGCAGAAAAAAATAAATATATTCAACTTTTCACCAGGTACAGTTGCCCAGCACATCAAGGACTGTATCCAAAAGTTTTGACATGTCTGGCCAATCATTGTCAGCAGAGAAAATGCCAGCTTTAAAGGCTCTTCCAGAAAGGACACATCTGGCTGTAATGCATGTTCAGTATGGCTAATGACACAGGAGAAATTTAAGCACTCACCTCATTAATTGTGCTCATGCACTGGCTATACTGTTAGTGTTGGAGGATATCCATATATTTCATCTTACTTTTCAATCACTCATCCTCTATTTACCTTATATATACTTACACCTCCTGTTGTTTTCTGATCACCTATATAGTCCAGCAGTTTCTATCCATATGCCTCAGTCACTTCACCTACATTGTGCCTGACTGAGATACTCACATATATTCTTCTGTCAATAGTTAGGTAAAAGACTGCCTTACATTTGTGATATCATGCACCTCACTAAATGCTCACATCTGAATTAAGGTCAGAATGAAACATCATAGAAAATTAAGACTTGAAGGACTAACAATTTCTTCACTCTGGATGGTATCCTGGAGAAACTCAGGACATCAGGTTGAATACAGAATAGATGATGATACACCAATCTGTGCAAAGTATTTGCCAAATATATTATCAAACAAAAAATCTTCATGAAATGCTTTGAAGTGCTGCATAGAAGAGGGCATCAGAACAGTACATCCATTATCTATAAAGAAGCCTACCTTTTCTATGAAACCTTTAACTTCAGTATTCATGTCAATGTTGAGCATTCAGCTCAAATACCACACATCTGCCTTGAATGAGCAATAAAGACCCCTAATGAGCATTTTCATTGCATACTCTCTATCATACTGTCCAATTCTATCCACCTGGACATTTGGAAGTCCAGTGATTTTTCTCCTTTCTGAATCTGAGTCTTCATCAAAACAAACTGCCATATCAAAATTATTAATATAATATTGAATAAAGAAGTGTGATTGAAATGGTCCAGAGACATTAGATTCCTTAGTCTCATCAGGCTCCATTCAACACCCTAGGAAGTTGAAAAGTGTGTTATTGTTGAAGTAGCACACCCTCCATGTCACTCTTACCTTATATAATCATAGCTACTAATACTGGAGATCGAAAGTCAACACTTATTAGCTTTTGACTTTTGACTCCAGACTTGGCTTTCCCTGCTGTGCTACACAACCTGCTCTCAACAGGTTATGGGCCCTGTGCTTTACTAAGCCAAGCAATTTTTTTGTTTCCTTTTATGAACTATTCACTAGATGTCAAAGTCTTGCTCACTTTCTTAAGAGACATCACTATCCATTTGGAAGTCGCATCCACCCATCACAGGCCTCCACACACTTTCTAACCCCAACAGTCTCTTTTTTTTTCTCATACCATGATGAACAACTCAGATGTTGTTGACACCACCAAATGTGGTTTTTCCAATCTCCATGCTGGCAACTGAAACCACTTTACATCTTTATTTGAAGCCTACATGTGCATCAAAGAGCTATTTGGCCACTTTGATGGCACTGAGGAGCCACCAGAGCAAGCTGACTCTAGTGAACCCACAAAGCTCAAAAAGAAGGAGATAAAAGCTTACCTTCAAGCTCATTCATCTGCAGCAGGATACCTCTGGCTTTGCATTGATGAATCACAGCATGCTCATATCAGTCTCCTCATGGGTAAGCCCACAGCTATGTGATTGAAACTGAAAGACATTCACCAACAGCAAAAATCAGACACCTATTTCAATGCCTATGACATCTTATTCAGCATTCAGAAGGATGATGAAGAGTCTCTCTCTACTCTTGTTGGACATGTCTCACAAGCTATACAAGACATCAAAGCACTCCACCCTGAAAAGTTCACTATCAATCAACTTGATGAAGAGCTTCAATCCATGACTCTCATCCATGCCCTTCCATCTGATTATGACAATTTTGTGTCATCAGTCCTTCTCCTCCATTCTCTCAGTCTCAACAAACTCATTGCTGCCTTCCACACCAAAGAGATGCAGTGCCACTCTCATGATACCACTTCAGCAACATCATTCAAAGTGAGTGCTGTCAGAGTCCAAGCCACTCATGTGGCATCATCTGATACCACCTGCAGCTGGTGCACTAACTCTGGACATACTGAGAAGGAGTGTTTCAGCAAAAAGAAAGCCAAGGAGCAAGCTATACAGCATGTCCAGAAATGTCAGAATATAAAATCAGACAAGAAGGCAGGAGAGGCAAAGACAGAGAAGTCAAATATCACAGAAGAGACTGCCAGCCAAGAAAGTATTGATCTCTTGTCCCCAGCATCATCTAACTGGAATACAGACACAGGTGCTTCATCTCACATAAGCTATTGTTGAGACTGGTTTCACATCTGAATCCCACATGTGGTTCTGATTCAGTTAGCAGACAATTCAATCATCTATTCAGTGGGCATGGGGACAGTTGTGTTTGAGCCTAAAGAGAAGAATGGAGAGGTCTGTGAGGCTGTTGAGTTCCAGGACATACTGCATATACCTGATCTTCACAATAACTTGCTTTCACCCTTCCATCTTACACATCATAAGGGATATGAGATCAACATAGTCAGATCATCAGTCCAGTTCTTTCAAGACAAAGCACTTCATTTCTTAGCTACTGTCAATGATAACAATATTGGATATCTTAATGGCACCACTCACACTACAAGACTGGTAACCTCAAGTACTACAAGCACCTGTCCACTTGATCTGACTCTATAGCATCAACAAACCTGTCACAGAAGCATAAAAATTGTCCAGGACATGTACAAGAATCAGCTTATCTTAAATATGAAGATGAACAATATGCAATCCAATCCTGACCCAATTTGTGAACCTTGCCTTATGGGCAAGCACAGGTGATATAATATTTCTCAAGGCCCCTCACTTCTTCCAACACACCCTCTTGCAATTGTATTCTCTGATCTTAAGAGATCTATGCCAGTTGCTACACTAGAAGGTTATCACTACTGGATCACTTTTATATGTGGTGCTCTGTGTTTTTGGGCTGTTGCCTTGCTAAAGCACAAGAGCAATGCTCTGGCTGAATTTAAACACTACAAAGCCTATGCTGAAAATTTTCATGGTCTGAAGATCTTAGAGGAGCAAGATGATGGTGGAAGAGAGTATATGGGTCATGAATTTGATCAGTTATATATAGAAGAAGGGATATCAAGGTGCTATACTGAGCCCAATGAGCCTTATCAAAATGGAATTACAGAACATGCAAATTGCAATATTGCTGAAGGAGCTATTACTATGCTCTATGAAGCTCATCTTTCTCCCTCTTTCTGAGGACTAGCAGTGCTTGCATTTATATATGTGTGCAACCATTGCCCTACAGCACCACTTTCTAAAACAACACCATACACTGGCTGGCACAAGAAGAAACCTGACATCTCTAACTTGCATGTCTTTGGCTGCTTAGCCTATGTCCATGTCAAAAAGAACAAGCAACAAGGTCTTTAGCCACCCACCACCAAATGCATATTTGTTGGATATCCATCAGGTACAAAAGCATGGAAGTGCTAGAATCCTGTAACTAAGAAGTTCATCATATCAAGCCATGTCATTTTTGATGAGCGAGTGTTCCCAGAAAATACAAAAACTCTTATCAACCCTTTCAGTGACCTATTTTCTCCACTCTCAAGTCTGTCAGATTCTTCTATGCTGTCTGATCAAGGAGGAGACCTTACCAATGATGATCTTCCACCTCCAGAAAATCCTTCAGCACCAAATCCCTCACCTCCTCTAAGCCCATCACCTCCAGTATCACCCCTTCCCCATGATATTATGACTCCTTCTGGCTCACCATTCAATAGATCTCTCTCAGACCTAACTCCATCACCACCACCTCCAACAGACCTAGACAAACATGAATACAGAATATGTGATGATGGCTTATATGATCTTGGCTCTGGTTATGGTCATGAAATGCACCAAAATGTTAACAATGATGATCATGCAAGAGATGCAGAGGATCAAGCACACACAGCCTTTATGGAAGACAAAACTATTCTTGAAGGCATAGCTTTCTCCAGCCAGACAATAGAGCACTTGACAATGGAGGAAGGACTGGAAGTTGCATTCGAAAGCATGACAGAAGCAGCTTATAAGGCATCTACACATGATGGTGAATCTAAATCCTTCCATGAAGCTATAAAACACTCTCCAGAGGAAGCTGCAAGTTGGTATGAAGCCGCTATGCAAGAGATACAGGCACTCATTGAAAATGGTGTCTTCAAATTAGTGAAATGCCCTCCAAATCAAAAGGCAGTTGGGAGTCACTGGATATTCAAAGTGAAATGCAATGCTGATGGATCAATTGAGTGCTATAAAGCAAGACTTGTTGCAAAGGGATACTCACAATGACCTGGCTTCGATTACACTGAAACCTTCTCTCCAATGCCAAAATGGGCTGCTCTATGAGCTGTCCTGGCACTTGATGCCCCCAAGGATTTAGAGCTATGGAGTGTCAATATCTTATCAGCATTTCTCAATGGTGAGCTGACAGAAGAGGTGTATATGGAGCAGCCAGAAGGTTTTGAGAAAAAAGGAAAGGAATGGGTCTGGCACCTCTTCAAGTCTCTATATGGACTAAAGCAAGCTGGAAGAGAATGGCACAAAAAGCTACATGCAACATTGACTAATGCCATGGGTTTTGAATGGGTAAAATGTGACCATAGTGTCTGGGTTTACAAGAGGGACAGTGAGCGTATCATCATTCTAGTCTTCATCGATGACATGACTAGTGCCACAAAGACACCAGACAGTGTTACAAAGATCATCAACAATCTCAAGAAGCACTTCAAGCTTCAAGACTTGGGTCCAATGTCTTACCTCCTTGGTGTTGAGATCAAGCATGACTGAGCCAACCAAACACACACTCTCTCTCAGCATCAATACACCCTAGATATTCTGCAACATGCAGGAATGGCTGACTGCAACCCTGTTCTGACACCTTTGGATCCAAACATAAAACTTACAGCAGATCAGTCTCCCAAAACACCAGAGGAATATGAGACAATGCAGACAATCTCATACCTGAATGTGCTTGGCTCTGTGGCCTACCTCGCTATTGCTACCAGGCCCGATGTTGCCTATCCCATGAGTGTACTCTCATGATTCAGCAAAAACCCTGGCACAGCCCACTGGGAAGCTCTCAAATGGCTATTACACTATCTGAAGGGCACAGTTGACTATTGCATTGTCTACTCTCCTGACTCTGAGTCAGATTTGTCAGTCTTTGACTTCAAGACTTACTGCGATGCAGATCATGGGGGTGACAAAGATAGTGGGCATTCCACAAGTGGCTTCATTGTCAAAATGGGTACTGGAGCCATTAGCTGGATGAGTCATCTTCAGGCATTCATGACACTCTCAACAACAGAGGCAGAATACGTTTCAGCCATGTCTGCTGGTCAGGAAATCCTTTGGCTTCACAACTTGTTCACAGAGTTTGGCTATTCACTCACTAATGCCTCAGTCCTCTATATCGACAACAAGTCTGCTCTGTCAGTTGCCCAAAACCCTGAACATCATGGCTGGGTCAAACACCTTGACCTTCAATTCTATTGGCTGCATGATGAAGTTGAAAAAGGGTGCATCCATGTGGTCCACTTATGAACTGAAAATATGCCAGCTGATGCCTTGACAAAGGGATTAGAAAGAGAGAAGCTCAGACACATAATTACCTTACTCAGACTTGTCTCGATACCTCCGTAGACATGTTCGGTCGAGGGAGAGTGTTGAAGTAGCACACCCTCCATGTTGCTCTTATCTTACATAATTGTAGCTACCAATACTGGAGATCGAAAGTCAATACTTACTAGCTTTTGACTTTTGACTCCAGACCTGGCTTTCCCTGCTGCACTACACAACCTGCTCTCAACAGTTATCACTATCAAGATCCTGGGTTACATGTGTAGGATATAGACCACCAGTGGTATAGCACGTACGAGATGTACAATCAAGTTATCATGACAGAACTTGACGTCCCAACAAGAACACGGAATTCAGTTAAACTATGGCATGCCTCAATAGATGTCACACCTTAAATATCTGTACGAGATAATCCAGCATCTCATGGACGTTGTAGAACCAGGAAATGTATCCGATAGAAAGCAGAGGGAAAATGACAAATCTGAGTCCATTGAATTCAAGCTCGTCCAAGAGGAAGGGCATAGTTATCTCCTTGAAAGGCAGTCTGTCCTATGGATAGGTGCTGGATGGCTTCATAGTGCTCATCCCCTGAGGCATCACCATCGATACTGATTAGACAAATGAGAACGTCCTGATTATGTATGATGCACGCTGACAGTGGATCTTATTCTTGGATACTTCGTAATAAGCAGACTAAAATGAAAACAGGAACAAAAGAACCTACTACTTGATCAAATATGGTTTGCGAGCATGGATGCCAGGCTCGCATTGATAGCAAGAAATGAAGATGAAACCGTCAGGTCGGCAAGGTTCATCATTTGATGAAAAAAGCATGACTTTGTAGAGGTCTCCCATTCCTTGTTTATACATAGATATCCACAAAGTGTACCCATGTTCTTCAAAGAATTTTTGGGGTGGCTCATATTTCCAGAGGTCGTATGGTCGACCAGTGCCCTCGGGCTTCCAGCACCTGTCACACCATTCTTGTATAGCCTTAGGCAACTAAAAATGTGTCATAAAGGATCCAGTCGGCCAGGAATGAGATGTCAACGAATGATATGAATGAATGAGTAAACTCAGGTCATATAGATTGGGACTCTGCAGGACAAATTCTGCCATTGTCATTGCAAGCATCGACATCAATCCATCCATATTGTTCAAGATGAGATATATATTGGAAGAATATACAATCAGATTGTACCCAAGACTAAACAGAAAAATTCTGAGTAACGAGAGTCTGTTTCTGTGAAGGAATCAATATGATGTTTGCTTTGTAATTATGCTGAACATCTGTGTGAATATGCTGTCTCTGCATGGGATCATACTCATCACAATATATATCAGCCAGGATATCTGTCTCCAAATTCAAAAGTCATGCTTGAACTCTTCAAGTTTGGCATGAGCATCATGATGAGATAAGAACAGCAACGTCAACTGGATCTCTGTTGGACAAATCCATGGCAGTGATGCACAACAGGGAGACTTCATGACGTGGAGGAAGATCCAGGTCCATGTTTTTGCATGTGCCAAAGATGAAGCCAGTGTGAATTGCTGGGTTGTAAGCAGTTCGTAGCAGCAGTACACATCTCAGACATAAAGGCACATACCGGATGAGAGCATGGAAACAGTATCTAAGTCATCAATGAAAATGTAGGTCTGCCATTAAAGGCTGCGTCTGACCAAGTTCTAAGAGAAATATGTGAGATCAAGTCAATCAAGAACAAACTATGATTTTCTCTACATAAAAGGTGAGATATGTCATTGAAAGACATGTTTAACTCCATGCGATATTTCCATAATTTGGTCAATACAGAGTTTTCATAATTATCAATGGACACCTGAAATTTCTCAAAAGATATAAGACTCAGGTTGAGCAACATGATGGAGTTTTGGAGTGCACATAACCACTCAGCAGCCTTGGGGAAATTTGCAAGCTACATCGATAGTCGTGAACTGCAGAGTTTGCCATCATGAAAGAACTTGAGCACAGCTAATCAAGAATAGTGACATTTTTCCAAATCCTGAAGGATGACAAATTATTTATTATCAAGGGAGTCTTCTATCCATTATCACTTACTTTAATGAGTAGTCAAAGACAGGGCATTCTGTGTCCAGACAACACTAGTCGCATAATTTTGATCTCTGCAATGGCCTAGAGTCAGTCACATTCCTTGTCTAGCAGAATCATGCCCATGTGGCTGTCAAGGAACTTACTGTTATAAGTAGAGAGCAGAGTAATGTAACAGAGAACTAGTATTAGCCTCTCGAGAGAGAAACGTTCTACTTAAATACATTTCATATTACTTCAAGATCTTTCTACGAGATACTAAATAAGTCCAGATCATGATCCAAGTCAGCTGCCACTGACTGGCATCGTATCTTCAAGTACGTTCTCATACTCACTCAGGATTGCTATCCCAACACTCCCCCTCAATTCCAAGTTCCTAGAATACCTGCAGATAGATACTCATATAATGGTCTTAGTAGGCCTTTAGTGAATATATCTGCTAAGTTCTCTTCTGATGCGCAGTGCTGAACTTTGACTTCATTTGAAGCTATGCACTCACGAATGAAGTGGTGCTGTATGTCTATATGCTTCGATCATGCATGGAATATAGGGTTCTCAGCAAATTTGATTGCTGATTGATTGTCGATGAAAATAGTCATCACTTCATAAGGTGGTAATCCTAATTCAGTTAAGAGTGCTCATAGCCAAATTACTTCCCGGGTTGTGTGTGCAAGGGCCATATATTCTGCTTCCATAGTGGATAAGGCTATGGTGGGCTGTTTCTTTGAACTCCAAGTAACAGCTTCCTCTGCATAGGTACAGACATAACCAGATATTGATCTTCTATCTGTTCTGTCTTCTCCCCAGTCTGAGTCTGAATAAGGTATCAGCTCATCCATAGTCCCTCCATATGTGATTCCAAAGTCTAGAGTTCCCTTCAGATAGTGGAAAACTCGCTTCAAGACTGTGACATGCTCAGCAGCCGGATTCTGCATGTACTTGCTTAATTCAGTGACAGCATGTGCAATGTCAGGCCGGGATCCATTGGCTGCATACATTAGTGATCTGACACCAGTATGGTAATATTGCCTGGTGGCTGTGTCAACACCTTGTGAGTCTTCTGTTGGAATTTTCTCTAGCTGTACATTCGGGTCCATAGGCATTTTGACCGGTTTGCAGTCATTTATGCCCATTCGCTCAAGTACTTTGAGAATATATGCCTTCTGGGATAGAGTGATAGTGCTCTTGTCCCTATTCCTGTCTATCTTCATGCCCAATATATATTGAATCTCCTTCATGTCTGTGACATTTAGCTTCTTCTTAAGCTCTTCTTTTATTTTAGACATGGTTTCATCGTCTGGAGCAAGTAATGTCATGTCGTCGATATGTACAGCTACAATTATGGGACTGGAACCCATTTGTCTGATGTACACACATTGATCACTGATCAATCTGATGTATCCAAGTCCCAAAAATATAGCATTTAATTTGTCATTCCAAACTTGGCCAGATTGCTTGAGTCTGTACAACATTAATTCGAGGTGTGCCGCTTTTTCACTCCCATCTGAATATTCAGGTGGCTGTGCCATGTAAATGGATTCATTGAGTTTACCATTTAAGTAAGCTCCAACAATGTCCATTCCATGAATGATTAGGTTTCTTTGAGCAGCAATTGCCATGAGTAGGTGAAATGTGTCCAGCCTGACAACTGGTGCATATGTCTCAAAGAAATCAATGCTGGGTACCTGTGAAAATCCTTTTGCCACAAGTCTAGCCTTGTATCTGGTGATTTTCCCATCATCATCCCTTTTCAATCTGTAAGTCCACTTGCAATCCACAAGTGATCTGTCTTTGGGTAATTCTTCCAGCTGCCATGTGCCTAAGGAAGTCAATAGATTGTATTCTTCATTCATTGCTTTCTTCCAATGATGCCAGTCTGGCCTTGTTTTGGCTTCTTCAAGGCTTAATGGCTCATCACTGAGATTGTCTGCAGTTTCCCCAATGCATGCATAGTCTATTGCAACATTTATGGCTTCCAAAGATGATTCTTCTGAGGTATGCTGTTGTTTCAATGTTTTCACAGCTCGTACACTTGGATTATAAAGTGTCCGGTAACTCGGTTGAGTCTTTGATGCAATCTGGACTGATTTGTTGCATGGCTCGATCACTTTCCCATGCCATATTAGGAAATTTGATTTGATTGATGACACATCAGAGGCTATTTCCTCTTTTAGTTTGGCATTTCTGGCATCCATGGAATCATCCAAAATGCTATCATTTCCATCCAGAGTCTGCTTGACTTTGCTCCCTGACTCCCCCTCAAGCGACGAAGGGTGGAAGACTATATAGTCAGTGTCTATAGGCTCTGTAGTGTTGTTTTCAGAGAATATAACATTTCTTGAGGTCTGAATCTGCCTGGTTTGAGAGTTATAATATCTTCAGGCCCTGGATTCATCTGTAAGACCTGTAAAAATAAATTCCCTTGACTTTGGGTCCAGTTTTGACCTCTTGTTATCTTGCTGCAACACCCAGCACTTTACTTCGAATTCCTGAAGTGCTGAAATATCTGGTTTCATGCCCTGAAACACTTCTTCTGGGGTTAAATCATTCTTGATGGCCCTGGTTGGTGATCAGTTCTTCAAATATGTGGCATATGCCACTGCCTTAGGCCATAGAAACTTCGGTAAGTGATGTTCTTCTAGCATGACACATGCATGCTTCACAAGAGTCCAATTTATTCTCTCAGCAACTCCGTTTTGAGATGGAGAGTATGCTGCAGTCAATTCCAACTGTATGCCATTGTCTTGGAGGTATTCCTTTACCTCTTCATTGACATATTCCTTTCCATTGTCAATCCTCATAAACTTCAGATCCTTCCCTTTGTGGACTTTGATATATTTTTGATACTGCTGGATCTTCTTTCGAATTTCCATACCTTGCTTTGACTTCAAAAAATACAACATTGTCCTTTGGGATTTTCCATCTGTGAAGCTTATATAATACCTTTCACCATGGATACCCTGAGTTTGGGCCAGCCCCCATAGATCTGAAAATGTCATTTCCCCTATTTCAGTATAGTCCCTTTTGGCTTCCTGTGGAAATGGCTTGGTATGATGTTTGGCTTTTATGCAAGCTATGCAATCTGTCTGAGGCTTGGCTGACTCATCTATATCCATCCCCTTGACCATTTTCTTCCTAAATAGTCTCTTTACTGATCCCATATTTAAGTGGCCTAATGTTTTGTGCCACTTTTGCCATGATCAGGCTGATTTCGTAGCATGGGCCTGAGTTATTTCTGGAACAATGATGTCAAGGCTGTACAGCTTTGATATTTTATCTCCATGGCCGATTATCTTGCCATGTGATGAGATAATATCCATTCTAGACTCTTTGAATCTAAGTTCAAATCCAGCATCTGTAATGCACCCTATTGACATAAGATTGAATGGTGCATCAGGGCAGTGGATACACTCCTTTAGTGTGACTGGAGTGATCTTTTCCCCTTCAACCATTTTAATCTTGACAGTTCCCCTTCCTAAACCCTTGGTTTTTCCTACACCAATGACTTCATGTCCTGGGGTTTCAACATAGTCAGAAAAATATAATCTATTTTTGACTATATGTCTGATGGTGCCAGAGTCCCCTAGCCATGATACTCCTGAGAGTGAGGTAAGTGTGATGTCTGTTGCACAAAATATGTAGTCATCTTCTTCTGAGTCCGATTTAGCAATATGTGCTTGAGTCTGGCTCTTTCCCTTTCCTTTCCATGACTTTCCAGAATTCTTCTTCCCATTTGGGCAATTTGTTCTGATGTGACCAGTTTTCCCACATCTGTAACATATGACTTTTGAATTGGACTTTTTGCCATGTGCTGCAAGTGTCGTAGTCCAATCAGAAGTCTTTTCCTTTAGTCGGATGTCTTCCTGAAGAATTCAGGAAATCAACTTGTAAGAATCTTTCAAGTCAGCAGTATCCACTGATGAGATGAATGAATTCCATGATTCCAGGAGTGATGTAAGCAGTGTGATAGAGAAGTCCTCCTCCTCAACTTTCTGCTTAAGGGATGCCAGCTCCTCCTGATAGGACCTCAAAGTCCTAATATGCTCCTCTATGTTTCCTCCTTCTTCGCACTGAGCTCTGAAGAATTTCCTTCTGACAAGGACAATTCCCATGGGTCCCCTAGACTCATACATATCTTCCAGAGCTTTCCAGGCTTCTGCCGAAGTCTTTGAACCAGCAATATATACCAGCGGGCCATCAGAAACCTGCAATCTTATTGTTGAAAGAGCCTTCCTATCGCTCTTCTTCCAATCTGCCACCAGTGTCGTGTCTGCCGGGGCCGGAATGCTTCCATCTGCATAATCAATCAGTCCTAAATCGGTTAGGATATCGATCATCTTGATTTTCCATGTCAGATAATTTTCCGGGCCCTTAAGGGGGTCAATTCTATACACAGACTGGCTATCCATGCGGTTCTACATGTGTACGTAAAGTACGAAAGAGTGCAAAGTGAGTAGCGATGTAAGTTCAGTTATGGCCGGGGCCCATAACCTGTTGTAAGTAGAGAGCAGAGTAATGTAACAGAGAACTAGTATTAGCCTCTCGAGAGAGAAACGTTCTACTTAAATACATTTCATATTACTTCGAGATCTTTCTATGAGATACTAAATAAGTCCAGATCACGATCCAAGTCAGCTGCCGCTGACTGGCATCGTATCTTCGAGTACGTTCTCGTACTCGCTCGGGATTGCTATCCCAACACTTACCTACAGTCGTCTTCAGCAAAGAGGTGGACTCAGACCCGCTCCTTGACTCTGACGACGCGTTTCTGAAATTGGTGGAGTTAAAGTGGTGAGAGTCAACGATTGCGCTCTTTCAAATTCTGTACACACTGATGAGAAGCAAATAAGACAAAACACGGAAGAGCTTCCTTTCAACTTGAATGGCGCGTCAAAGTTGTTCTGTGATACACTGACTCATTACTCCGATCGGCATCTTGTCGGTAGCCTTCCCTACGCAGACTCTTTTAAATGTACATAATTCCTTCCCATCGAATGATCGTTGCAAAAGACGAGCGACCTATTACCAGCCAGTGCCATTCTCTACCGGAAAGACTGGCCGCGCGGCCCGCGCTGCGTATCAGCAGGACGGGTGATCTGGATGTCTCTGGCGATGGAAGGCGAACAAGGAAGAATGGATCAGGCACGCGACAAGGGTATACGCTGTGTTTGCTTGCTGAACGTGCGCCAGAGGTGACTGATCATGGCTATCGTGGTGTGAAGTTTGACATAGCCTCCCAGCTGTTTGTTCAACACCGAAAACATCGAAAGGCATCCCTATAGTGTCTTCGAACACGACCGCAACTGTACGAGTCACGACGTTCTAGACCCGCACGCCCGAACATACTCGGACTTTGAGCGATACCTCTGCACCAAATAGAGACTTGCAAGCCGAGTCGCCAAGCAAACGGCCCACGCAATATTATGTGGCAACGCCCGACTTCATCATACGGATCGTCCAAATGTTCGTGCAGAAACTTATTTTTAGGCATCCACCTCCGTGAATATTCCTGCACAGCCTGTTGAATAGTATAAAAACTGACCATGTCGATGTCGAAGCAGCCAGCATCTCTTGTTTGCTTCCAGTCCTTCACATCCTGATCATGTTCAAACACGCTTTCCGCCAGTTCGTCTTCACCGCCGCTGTGCTTGCAGCCGTGTCGGCTATCCCGACTGGAGAACTGGAGGAGCGTTCAAGTTGCACGATTTCGTCTGTATCGACCGCTTCATCCATCTCGAGTTGCTCTTCGGTTACCATCTCTGCCTTCTCTGTTCCTAGCGGAAGTAAGTCCAGGGATACTCCTTTACTACACCTCGCTTACGGTAACGTTCTCCAGGCACATTGTCGCTTTCTGTACGTCGTTTTGGACCTAGCATCGAATGCATCTCATGTATTTCTACCAGCCCAAATCAGGCGCGACCATCACCATGGCTGGCGACATAACCTTCGCCAAGACTTCTAGTGCGTACCTCTCGTAGTTATCTGACCGGGATCTGACCGGGTCGATGCTCTCCCAGGCGATGGACCATTGTTCACCATCGACGGCGACGACATCACATTCAATGGCGCAGGATACTCATTCGACGTGAGCACCGTTTCATTATTTTACCGCTTCAACGTCACAATGGCCTTGACAGGGAAATGGTGCCGACTACTGGGATGGAGAAGGCACAGACGGCGGTGTCGACAAGCCTCACCCGCTCTTGAAGCACGTCCTTTTATGTTCGCAATGATGTTCTAGCACCTGACGCTGGACCTAGGTTCAAGGGCTCCGGCACCTACTCTGACTTCACGGTCTTGAACAGTCCCGCTCAGGCCATCTCTATCGGTAACAGTGACGGCCTCGTCTTCGACAGCATCACGGTACGCCGAATTCCTCTCGCTCTGTCAGAGGGTTACCTGACCTTCATAGGTCGACAATAGCGATGGAGATACCGATGATCTCGGTGCCAACACCGATGTGGGTACTGTTTCATATCCTATTACTCCAAAGCTGATGGTTCGCAGGGTTTCGACGTTTCCGCGGACGACGTGACTATTAAGAACTCTGTCGTGAAGAACCAGGATGACTGCCTCGCTATCAATGATGGATCTAGCATCGTGTATGCGACATTCCATTCGCGAAAGTAGCCGCTTACCCGATGAATTCACCAGTTTCGAGGACAACACCTGTTCTGGCGGCCATGGCATTTCAATCGGTTCCATCTCCAGTGACAATTCTGTATCAGACGTGACGATCTCTGGGAACACCGTTAAGGACTCGATGTACGGATTGAGGTAAAGTATCTGAGGCTTTATTGTGGTGTTCACTCTTCTGAATTGCCTACTCAGAATCAAGGTCAAAGCTTCAGCCACTGATGCGTCTGTGTCTGACATCACGTACTCTGGGTGAGTATACTACAGCTGTTGCTCAAGCTCTCTCTTATGCTCGTCCATACAGAAATACCATCACCGGCATCGACAAATACGGTGTCTTGATCACCCAGTCATACCCCGACGATGACGGTACCCCCGGAACTGGTGGCCCCATTTCGTGAGTCAGGTTGATGTCCAGGCTATGATTACGGCTTTTCATATATTCTGACAGGGATATCAACTTCACTGGAAGCACCACCACCATCACGTGAGTCCAGCGTCTCGTTCATGCCGTCGTTGTACTCATGCGAATCTTCGCTAGGGTTGGAGACGATGCCAAGCGTCTGACGATCGATTGCGGAGCCTGCTCTGGGTAAGCACCATCGACGACCGCGTTACTTGGATCCTGATCCTATCCTATGCAGAACATGGGACTTCTCCAAATTGAAGATCACGGGCGGCTCAGAGGGTACGGTTGACAGCGACGATGCTACTGTATGTATCCGTTCTTTCTTGGTTTTGATTGTCTCCTGACTTTGAGAATAGATTTCTGGTGGATCGTATTAGGTCGATGATATTATAATCGTCATAGGTCGTGCATAATATTTCAGTATCTACTACTAATATCCCAGGTTCTATATATTTTCCGCCAATTTCTTGCATCAGTATTCTCCTGCCATGAGCCTAAGTGCTGGCGTCGCAAAGTCCTATGTTGGATCTCTCTTCTGAGTGTGTCGGCGTGGAATGTAGAATACACATGCAGGCGTGCCAGCCGGTCCGAACAAAATCCCCATGGACCAAACTTTAATGCGTACAAAGCTACCTCTAAACGTGACGATAATCTACACATGCTAAAGAAGCTCAGAGGAATACTACGGGCTTCGAGCGACTATCGTCGATCAGCCAAAGAATCAAGCTGCTCCTCAAGTTCACGCGGCTCGCCACAAGGACACGAACCATCAATTGAGGACCGTTTCAAATTCAATGAATGAGGCTTTCCTCAGGACTTGCAAGCTTTCTTGGTGTGAGGTATGCTGCGCCACCTACTGGTAAGCTATTGATAAAATCTATCTAGAAGGTAAAGTCAATGAGTTTGTCAGGGAACCTGGGGTGGAGTGCACCACATCGGTCCCCCTTCATGCGATTTCACAACGTGAGCTTTTCGTAACTAGTTAAAGGATGCTGGACTGAACCCTCCTCCTTAACTTTGCCACCCCCTCCCCTCCATTGGAAGAACTGGGATCAAAGATTTACGGAGATGATGTTTAACAAGACGGACGATGATGAACCTGTCGTGAGGCCTTTTGCGACGGGTACGGGTTTACTAGAGCGTTGCGTGTAAGTCATCCAGCATTTAGGCATGAGGGCTAAGCGCTCACCGTGTTCCCGTTAGGTTTGGGCTGAGGTATCTCCAGAGACATCTCAGTAGTGGTTGGATTAGTATGAAGACCCGATGCCGCCATCGAGTTTAGAGAGATGAAATAAGAAGATCAGCAATGACCAAGTTTTCAGCTAGATAATCGAGTATCATCGGAACATGTAACTTTATGGGATGGCACAAAGATCATGATTTTCTTTCTTAGGACTTCAAAGCTTCAGATTCAAGGAGAAAGTGTTGGATTACAAAAGCGATAATATTAATATTATTTGTGACTCATGCAGATTAAACTACCAGCAAACCTAATACGATCCACCGGAAATCTATCCTCAATATCAGCAGGAGGGTCGAAGCTAGGGAAGATGGGATACATACAGTAGCGTCGTCGCTGTCGACTGTACCCGCTGAGCCGCCCGTGATCTTCAATTTGGAGAAGTCCCATGTTCTGCAGAGGGAGGGATTAGAATATATTCCTTTGTTGCTTGAACACGAATGTTTTACCCAGAGCAGGCTCCGCAGTCGACGGTCAGCCGCTTGGCATCATCTCCAACCCTAGGAATTCATATGAGCACGGTATGGAATCAATTGAGGTAAACATAAGCTCACTTGATGGTAGTGGTGCTTCCAGTGAAGTTGATGTCTCTGTCAGAGTCTGTCAAAAGCTGCACTCATAGCATGAACCTGAATCTGACTCACGAGATGGGGCCACCAGTTCCAGCGGTACCATCATCGTCCGGGTAGGACTGGGTGATCAAGACGCCGTATTTGTCGATGCCGCTGACGGTGTTTCTATACGGAAAGGCATAAGAGAGTGCCTGGAGGATCGATCGCTGCAGTTTACTCACCCGGAGTACGTGATACCAGAGACAGACGCATCAGTGGCTGAGGCTTTGACCTTGATTCTGAGTAGCAGATAATTCAGAAGAAAGAACACGGCAACAAAGCCTCAGTAAATTTACCTGAATCCGTACATCGAGTCCGTGACAGTGTTTCCAGAGATTGTCACATCTGATACGGACTTGTCGCTAGAGATGGAACCGATCGAAATACCATGACCACCAGAGCACTTGTTGTTCTTGAAACTAATGAACGCATCGCATCAGTATGTAGCTGCTTTTGCAAATGGAATGCCACGCACACAATGTTCGAGCCATCGTTGATAGCGATACAATCATCCTGGTTCTTTACGACGGAGTTTTGAATAGTCACGTCGTCTGCGGAAACGTCGAAACCCTGCAAACTGTGAGCTTTCAAGGAGAAGCGACATGAAAGTATACCCACGTCGGTGTTGTGACCGAGGTCATCATCATCACCATCGCTATTATCGACCTATGAAGGTCAAGTAAGGATCTGATGGACGAACGAGAAGAATTCAGCGCACCGTGATGCTGTCGAAGACGAGGCCGTCACTGTTACCGATAGAGATAGCCTGAGCGGGGCTGTTCAAGACCTGTCGTTCACCTTCAGTGTCATTCAGATGGAGAGAAAAGAGTAGCTCACCGTAAAGTCGGAGTAGGTACCGGAGCCCTTGAACCTAGCCACATCATCAGGCGCTCAAACGATATCGCGAGCATTAAAAGGACATACTTCAAGAAGGGGTGAGGCTTGTCGACGCCGCCGTTCGTGCCTTCACCGTCCCAGTATTTGGCGCCATTTCCCTGTTGAAGACATTGTAACACTGAAGAGGGAGACAATTAAATGCCGCTCACGTCGAACGAGTATCCCGCGCCATTGAATGTGATGTCGTCGCCGTCGATGGTGAACAATGGTCCATCACCTGAGAAAGCAGCGACCCGGTCAGATACTGGTCAGATACATATGAGAGGTACGCACTAGAAGTCTTGGCGAAGGTGATGTCGCCAGCCATGGTGATGGTCGCGCCTGATTTAGGCTAATGGAAATACATGAGATGCATTCGATGCTAGGTCCAAAACGACGTACAGAGAGCGACAATGTGCCTGGAGAACGTTACCGTAAGCAAGGAGGTGTAGTAAAGGAGTATCCCTGGACTTACTTCCGCTAGGAACAGTGAAGGCAGAGATGGTAACCGAAGAGCAACTCGAGATGGATGAAGCGGTCGATACAGACGAAATCGTGCAACTTGAACGCTCCTCCAGTTCTCCAGTCGGGATAGCCGACACGGCTGCAAGCACAGCGGCGGTGAAGACGAACTGGCGGAAAGCGTGTTTGAACATGATCAGGATGTGAAAGACTGGAAGCAAACAAGAGATGCTGGCTGCTTCAATGTCGACATGGTCAGTTTTTTATACCATTCAAGAGGCTGTGCTGGAATATTCACGGAGGTGAATGTCTAACGATAAACTTCTGCAAAGAACACCTGGACGATCTGCAGAAAATTATCATAAAGACGTAGGGCTTGGCTGGTCTTGGCATCGTATTGCGTGGGACGGCGACCCGCGTTGGAAGGCCTTATTTGGTGTGGGTATCGCTCAAAATCCGGGTATGTCATCAGGCGCGTGCGTCTAGAATGTCGCGACTCGTGCATTCACGGTCGTTCTTGAATTTATTGTAGATATGCCTTCGGATATTTTCAGTGCTGAAAGGATGAAAGTCCTTGTCAAATGTCGCCCATGACAACCATGAACACCTATCCCTGGCGGCGCCTTTATCAGCAGGCAGGTACGGCGTATGTCCTCGCTTTGCACTTGACATTTTCTTTCTTGATCGTATTCTCCAGAGTCATCGAGACCATCCTGCTGATACGCGTGGCGGGCCGCGCGGCCAGTCTTTCCGGTAAAGAATGGTACTGGGCAGTAACAAATCCCCCCGTCCTTGCAACCATTGTCCGACGCGAAGGAATTACGTATATTTCAAAAGATTAAGAGTCTGCCTGAGACAGTCACCGAAAAAATGCCGATCGGAGTAATGAGCCGGTGCATTACTGAGCAACTCTGACGCGCCATTCCGGAAGCTGAAAAGGAGCCCGACCGCTCTCGTGCAGAAACCAGATCGACGAAAGACTCGACTAGCGGTGACGGGGACCATGGGATTATCCACGGGCACCGTTCACAGTATCCGTGTACATTCGGACTACGACATCGCGTCCAAGCTTCAATAGCGAGGCATCCGAGTAAGACCATACCCATAGAAGCTTCCTGATGGAGACCTTGCAGAATAGCCTAGTAGCGCGGGGTTATTGCTTTTTCCTTGAGCCTTATACGGCCGACTTACATCGACGTTCGTTCGTCTCAGTGATTGAGATTCATTGCGAGTCTTTCACAGAAACTCTGATTGGATACGCCTGTCGGGGACGCCAGGAGCACAAAGCAGACGAAGGAAAAGAGTACCTTGGGTTGTGGTGACAAGCTGTAGAGCAGCCGGTCTTCTCCCAAATTCTCTACGAGTGATTGGATCAATACAGATAATAAACAAGGATTGTGAAGACGCGCACCTTCCTGGTCATTTCGACACAAGCTACAGACTGCAACGACCTCCTTCACGAAGCAAAATAGAGAGATGCGGCTGGGATTCTTAAAAGCTCCTCCAAGCGCCATTGGGCCATGGGTGGTGCGCTAGTCCATTATTCATGCACTGGTTGACCCAGAAGTCACCTTGGGGGGTATCGACGACATTTCTTTCCGCTGCAGATAACAGGAAAGGGACCTATGCCATGGTAACGGTGGATACGGTAGATATCCAGCCCTACCAGAGGTCAGTGTTGGCGGATATTGACACGAGTCCGCCTTATCCCATGTGGTCCCTATGGTGTCGTGAAGGTGTTCCGAAGAAGTCGATACTGAAGCTAGAAGCTGCTGGTATGTTAGAAGATTGCATAGAGGAGACGCGGAGTGGGATGATGATGGTAAGAGGAAGGATGATGCAAAGCATTGATCAACATTGATCGACCTTAATTCTTTTCTCTTCTTGACCACGACTATCGTTAAGACCGCGATCCTCTCTGCGTGCGCCTCTTTGCATGTCTGAACTATCCACGACTCTGACGTTGTCAATAACTCCATCCTGTATCATGGGCTGCTGGCACTACTCCCAAAAAAATTAATAAATGTTGAACGTTTCGAGCATCAGAAGCATGCGAATGTTGATTGGAACGGTGGCGTGAGAACAATAATCGCCAAAAATCATCATTTACCTCAGGGTTCGCGGAGTCTTAATCCTTCGTTCCTCCACCCATCAGTGGCCATATGTCGACTCTTGTCATGACTGTGGCCCAAGACGATACCGGAATGGCGCAACAGATGCTGGAAGCCCGAGGGAAATCGGCTATACGACCTCTGGAAGCGCAAGCCACTTCGAAATTTCTTTCGGGAACATGGCTACAACTTGTGGCTCTCGGAATATGAACTCGGAATCGCATCTGCGTCGTGGGATGTGGAGCTTTCCCACCGAATGACGAGCCTCGCCGGTCCGACGGCTACACTTTTGTGACTCGTTATCAATGTCAGCCTGGTTATCGTCCTTACCAAAACGAACTTTGGCCAAGTCGTACGTGTTATTTTTTCCCCAGCTTTTGTTCCTTACCCATTCGTCAGGACAACATTCATTGCCCGGCGCGGATCATCCACAACCATGACGTTCTGATTCGTTTAGTCAGTATCGATGGAGACTCCTCGGGAGACGAGCATTACGAAGCCCTTCGCCGTCTCTCGGCAGGTCCCGCAGCTTTCGGGGAGATAACCAGGAGCTTCCTCTCTTGAATGAGCTTGAATTCAATGGACTTCGATTTGTCGTTTTTCCCTCTGGTTTATATGATCAGCCCACCATGGTTCTACAGTATGGACGAGATCCTGGATTATCTAGAACAGATATTCAAGGTGCGTTGACCGTCGAAGCACTCTGTAGTCTCACTAATCTGAAACTTTTGCAGGGCATCAAGCTCTGTCATGACAATTTGGTTGCACATCTCGTACGTACCTTGAACAGGGTAGTCTGGATGTTGACGTATCGTTTGATGCCGTGTTCGGCAAATATTTCGCTCAAGCAAGTATGAAGCACTTTTGGTATGTTAGCACCATAAAGGTCTTTCCAGGATGTCATAGAGACCGACGACATGGTACGCCCTTGGAGTTTCCCTTTGTCATCTTTCTGATTTTGATTTCAGATGAAGGATTTTGACAAGGTAGGTTTGTCGTATCCAGATTATATCATGATTTCCTGACGAAATAGGCTCGGCAGCATATTCCTACAAGCGAGGCGAGTCTTCCTGACAGGCAGTGTCTGAATCGCAGGGGACAGATTATGGGACGATAAGGATAGCATACTCTCTGCTCGTCATGATCACTCAAATGCGGTCGTCGAATCCGGAACTAAGACCCGACATGTCGCAAATATTGGATACGGTCCTAACCTTACGGAAGAGTCGCTCCCAGGAAGTGCTGTCCGATTATATCGGTACTCTAAGGAGAGCAGTGGAATGGGTAAAATGGTAGTTCTCTCTTGTATAAAGCTATTTTTCCGGACAAAGGATGTTAGGTCTAGATTGATGACTGCTTTTTAACTGTTGTTAAGATGACCTACCAGAACGCTGCGCTTCAGACATACCGTCGTGCCTCCACTGATCGTCTCTGGATCATTTCAGCCGTTCTTATCATGGGAAGACCTATGTCCAATTGCCGTACACGTTTGTGACCAATCCTCAATGACTCTGTTTCCCCTAAACGCGGTAGTGGCGTGAGAACAATCACGGGAAAGTGAGCGCTGACGGAAGTTCTCACGCTCATCTTAGCAACACGTTCACTCTTTGTCGTCAACACCTTATATTTAGGCTGATCGGCAGCTTTTCTAACTGTCTTCGAATTCTCGTAACTTGTATACCCTCCCTCATGATGCGACTGACATTGAATATTAAAGTACTACGTACGTAGTCAGTAATAAGATGGACTGGCTGCTAAATGCCTCCCTGTAGCGAAGGATATTTATTGAAAATCACAAATGCTATTAGAATTAGAGTAATCGCATGAAAGTTAGTTTGCCACGTTCATCACGTGGCGTTTCAATAAACTGTCCAAGGTTTATCATCCACTGATTCTCTGAATTCCCAATCTCAGGCTACCTGGCACCTCCACGTCATGACACATCTAGAATGTCTCAGGACGATACCAGAATGGTGCGACAGATGCTCCAAGCCGGAGGGCAGTCGGTCATACGAAGCATGAGCCACTGTAAATTTTCTTCAAGGACCATGGCTATACTTTGTGGCTATCCCTCTGAACTTGGTCGGTCAGGCAAAGAATGTCTAGAGCTAATTCCAACTGAACGATGAGCCTCGCTGACCCGATGGCTTCAATTTCGCTACTCGGTTTCCGTATGTTTGAATTAACTTCTGATCGATGATCTCCCGATCATTGTGTTCATCGCCAAGCATGTAGACCAACATCCATCACCCAGTTGGTACCGTTCATAATCAGGACATTATTATCCGTCTAATCAGTATCGATGGGGAGATGAACACTGCGAAGCCATTCGACGTCTGTCCTCCGGACCCACGGCTTTCCAGGGAGATAACCATCCACTTCCTCTTTTGGATGAGCTCGAATTCAACGGACTTAGATTCGTTGTTTACCCTCTGCTTTCCCTCGAAGGATGAAATGTGGACGAGATACTGGACAATCTGGCACAGATATTGAAGGTTTGTCGTCCTTCAACGCGCTGAGAATCGGCACCAGAGATGCTCATTGGCGGTCCTTATTGCCCCTTCAAGGCGGATGTGTGGTGTTTAGGTCAGATGCTTAATACTGGCATGTGTTGGAATCTGCGAGAGAGTTCGAGCAATCCGGCATTCCGGCATGCTGAGCAAGGAAAGAATCTGAGGGATATTGAAGGAATTAGGTAGAAACTACTAGAAAAGGAGTTGTCTAGTATAAATATGAGAAGTCAATGGGGGGACTCCTCAGGAGTTGGTAACCCAAAGACTAAAGGTCTTATAAGCATGTACTCTGGATACAGTCCAAATCTCAATAGCATGGATGAGGAAGTGAAGGGATTCATTGAAAGAGTGAGAATACATTTGCATTGGCCTTGTAATAATTCTTGAGCCTCTCATGCAACAACTCAAAGTTACTTGAGAAGACAGATCATTCAATAACATATTTGGGGACCACTTTGCTCAGGCGAGTTAAAAACATCAGGCACATATTGACGTGCTGAAATATTCTCAGAACGCACTAGAAACCGAACAGACGGTACGCATCCTGCCAATGAATGTCCTCGCTACTAATATAAATCTTAGATGAAACGTTCGATCAGGTGCGTTGTATCACCATCCGACTGTTGTTTATTTGAACTGAAAGCGTGTCACGGCAGTACGATGACAGTGGGACGAGGGTTTTCAGTTTTTTTGTGACAACTACCCAACAGCATTCTCCACGGATCTTATACATGGTAAATCCAGTCCAGGTACTCACCGCGTCTTTTCCTTCCTAGGCTCAAGTCCATTTTCACTATTGACGGCGACAGTGTAACGTTCAAGGGTGCAGAATATAAGTTCGACATAAGTCGAGTTACTTTCTCGCATTTCCACCTTTGCGACGTTCCACAGTGAAACGGCGCGCCGTACTTGGACGGCAAAGGCACGAACGGTGGTGTCGATAAGCCTCATCCCTCTTGAACTAAGTTTAACTATCAACAGTGATCATATCCAAGTGTTCTCAACCAACATCTAGGTTCAAGGGCTCCAGAAATTATTCTCAGTTAACGGTAAGACTTGCTTTTCCGTCTTTCTGGATAAGACTAACACGAGCGGTAGTTTTTAACAGCCCAGTTCAAGCCATATCTACCGGTAACAGCGACGGACTCACCTTCGACAGTATCACTGTGCGTGTAAATTTTCTTGTTCGCGTCTCTGTAGGCTTACATGCCATCCTTAGGTCGACAATAGCGCTGGAGACACAAACAGTCTGGATCATAGTACCGACGTGAGTGTGAACCACCATGTAATGAGTGAGTCTGAGCATCCATCGGGTGTATAGGGCTTCGACATTTCCGCTAACGATGTCACAATCCAAAACTCGATCGTTAAGAACCAAGATGACTGTATCGCTATCAACTCCAGCTCCAACATCGTATAGGTGTTTCAACCGTCTTCCTATTAGTGAAACACGTCACTCAACCACCCTTTCTAGTTTCCAAAACAACCAGTGCTCTGGCGGTCATGGCATTTCTGTTGGTTCCATATCCGCTGGAAAGACGGTTACCGACGTGACTATCTCTGGAAACACTGTTACGAACTCTATGTATGGGCTTAGGTACGGCAATGGTTCTTCTTCCCTCGCTCGGTGTTCTAGCGTTGGCGGCGTTGGCGGAATCAAAGTCAAAGCAGATACCACGAGCGTCAAAATATCGGGCATCACGTACTCGAGGTGAATACAACTTGGTCTTCCTTCCGAGATGACCTTCTAACCCATTCTTATAGCAACACCGTCAGCGGTATCACCAAATACGGTGTCTTGATCTTTCAGTCGTATCCGGATGATGCTGGCACTCCCGCCCGGCGTCCCTTCGATGGACCGTGCCGCGTACTTCTACCTATCTGCCTGCTTGCCCGGAACTGGCGGTCCTATTTCGTCGGTCATTTTTTGCGTGCATAATGAGCCGGTCATCTAATATACCCCTTTTACAGGGGCGTGAGCTTCACCGGCACAGCTACTACAGTCAAGTAAGCCGTACTTCTAGCAGACTTAGGCTGTTGCTTACCCACTTCTAGGTCAGAGACAATGTGGAGCGATTGACTATCGGCTGCGGTAACTGCTCTGGATAAATTTAATGGTCTTATAATCGTCGCAGAGCCGCTTGTCGCGACAGAAATGGCGCCGGGACGATACGTTCCATCTCGTTTGAATGCATCGGTATTTTGGGAGCTGTAGATTCTGACAGATGTTTCTTTACAGGACATAGGACTTCTCCAAGTTGACGGTCACTGGTGGCTCCGCTGGAACTGTCTCCAGTGATGATGGTACTCAGGCTGTATGTATCTCTCTGTGGTGTTACCGGAAGACCGTGCTGACGTTGGACTTAAATTTCTGGTGGATCATATTAGGGCCAAGTTGCGTCCAGGCGGAGCGTGAGGAGATACAATATTTTCATATTTATTATATGGGGTGTACTACGCACGGCCCTCTCCATTTCTGTCGAACCGAATTGATATACTTCTGGAGATAGTCCAACCTCCGTAAACATTCCCAAACCTCTATGTTCATTGCCAGACTCTGACTGACAGTCGTTTCCATCTGACCTCTATCACAGGCTCTTATGCCAACAGGATGTTCTCAATCCAAAAGTCTATACAGGTGAACATGCAACGCATGATCACGTGAGGACTAGGAGATGTCCAGTAAAACATTCCTCAGGAGTTCAAGGATTTGAATTCGTGTGAAAGATGAAGGAACGAATATTCACATAGGCGTTAAATCGGCTTCTGTGGTCGCCGATGCCGCTCCACTACAATGGGACTGACTACGTTTCCCACTCATTTTTTTTGTGGATGATCTTCGGACTTAATGAACCCACGAGCTGCCTTGCGATGACAGCGGTTGCGAGGCTCGCATGTCTCGTGGCTTCGTGATAATATAAACCGGAGTTGTTGTAACTGCATCATTGGAGGCCTATCCTCATCGAGGCCGGGGACTTAGCGTCTTTATATCGTATAAAATCCTGTGGGAGAAGGAAAAAGTTTGTATCCCCCTATCAGCTTAATCATGAGCTCGACACCTGCAATGCCACCAGGCAGCGCAAGTACTCTTCTCGGTCTGTGGGTAAGCGTTTCTGCATTTCGTCGCTCCACCCGATGCTGAGAACCGCAGTTTGTCGGACTTTTCTTAGACTTGTACCTCCAGGGCATCCTGTCTGCTCAGGTTTGAACAGGTATCATGGCCATATTGGCACACCACTAATAATTCATTGTAGATATTGAATTACTTTTCGTGATATGGAAAGACGGACAAGCTGACTGTTCGCGCGTCCGTTGGGTTTCTTGCTTTGATCACGACGCTCGAGTCAATTCAGGTCTGTCGCCTCTCTTGGGGAGCTTTTTACTTTAGCCTGACTTGTCGACAATCTAGAGCTTGTACGTTTCACTGTCGCGGTCCGAGTCTACAAGAGAGAACTGACCTGGCGGAAAAGTGCCATCGTCTGGGTCCAGCTGGTAGAAGATTTTGCAGATATTCAAAGTGCTGGTCAATCATTGTACGCTTCCGCTCCTAGTAGACTCTCGATGACTGATTATTCTATTTAAGAGTCACGGCGTGGTACGAAGTCGGTCGGTCGTACACCGCTCGAGTTGTCTTTCGTGATAAACAATCGAAGAGCAGGCAATCCATTGATGGTCGCTCTCATCAGTTTTTACGTTCAATGTTATTATTGTTATAGATTGTGGATCATATCGGAGAGGTGGTGGATAGTTCTGCCAATCATGCTGGTCTGCATATTTGCTATCATCGCCGCCATATTGACTGTAAGTACCCGGGTATACCAGAAGAATAGTTCTCACTGCTTTAGATACGAGATATTGCTCACTTCAACGGTTCCCTGCCCTACTGGAGTGGGCACTTCCTCACATTTTATCTCCGATGTGCCCAGCTAATTTCTTATTCTGTTAGTGTCTGCTCATTTCGCGACCGTCTTTGGTAGGTGCAATCCTTTTTCTACGCGCCTGGACTCACTCTATTGAAGTCGCAGATGTGTTTCTGGCGGCGACAACAGCTTTTTTCCTCCTGAAGACCAGAAGGAACGTTCTGGCACAGTTAGCATCCAAGTCGTCGAAATTACCTGTAATGTATCTGACACGCACATTAGAACTAAAGGCATGATCAACGCACTGGTACGACTCACGTTCCAAACAGCAACGCCTGCCGTCATATAGTAAACAACCATGGAATAATGCCTTGCCTGGTCCCACACACTCACTTCGATGTAGCGTCCTTCTCACCATGATCTGCGTCTACCTTCCGATGGGCAAACCTAGAGTCGCGAACACACATTCAACCAGGCTCTACCCAAGCTGTATGCTATCAGTATGATGTGGACCCTCAATGCCCGGAAAGACATTCGTGTCTTCTACTATGACAGCTCGACCTCCAGGACGCATTCGCGGTCCCAAAGACCTACTCTCACGGGTAGATATTCAATTCAAGTTCTTACTCGTACGGAGGTCCTCCAGGTGAGCTAGTCCTGTGGGTCGTCGAGAAAAATTGGTTGACACTCATCAGATGTCGGATGCGGATACGCATACAGAGGCCACAGCCAGAAAAAGTGAAGAAGAGGCGTCCATTCAAAAGAAGCAAATTGAATAAATTCCTAGATTCTTAAATATATTGTGGGTGATCATGACTACAGATTAAAGCGGTTTCATTATTAGCGTCATTCTAAGGCTCCTCGGTTGATGCTTCGCTAGCTTAATGTCTGAAATACCATCAAAAGGCGCCGTCCTGCGGTGCGAAGACCACTCACCGCCACCACATATCCATCTCAGGTTGTTCATCGCTCTCTCACTCTCTTCCTGTTTCAAACACCTCAACTGCTCTCTCAACCGCAAACAGAGGCTTCCCGGCATCATGGTCCACCTTTGAAGGCCACATTAAATGGACATTCGGATGAAGACGAGCAATCCTCTCCATTTCTGGATAGATATCATCATACTCGACACTCGGTGTGGCACAAAAACCGCTACTTCTCACGGGGTAAGACGGCTGGAGGATAACTGTAAGGTTCGAAGGTATGGGCACCCTATCAAAGCATCAGCCAACGAACCCCCAGACAAAACAGACTGGCCGAGTGACTGCACACTCAGGATCACAGCCCAACACCCACTCCCTAACAGTACGCATACCAAGGGATGGACCATGTGCGTGCGCAGACGACGAGGATGGCATATTCCTTGCCCATCATGATCGCTCAGATGCAGCCGTCAAACCCTGAACAAAGACCGACGCTACCGCAACTTTCAGATAATGTTGCAGCTCTGCAGAAAAGCATACTATATTGGTATCCACAGAAGAGCGGCGGAATGAGAGAAATTTCAAGGGTAGTGGTACTACCCGAACAAAAATTGATTGGTTTTACAATCTTTATACACTGATCATGTCCAACGTCTATCAGCATACGATGAACATGTAATGGGTGGTTGCGTTGTATTCAGATCAATGTGAGCCCGTCACTGGTCTTCCCAACATTTGATGACTTATTCAAAAACGTTCTTATAATGCCAAGGCGGTGATGGATCTTGATGCAGAGCTCGGTGGAAACTGAGTCCAATGATCCCTTTCATTGCTCTGTGCTACTCAAGCGCTTGGAGAATCAGTCTAGAAACAGCATGCGTATAAATGATGCATGTATTTCGTGTTCCACCTACCTATACGACGATTTCGTATTTCTCGAGGTTCTTCACAGGGCTCCCCACCTTCCTCCATGCCAAGTCAGTATATCCTTCCATTCCTCGCTGTCTGCACCATAAATAATACGAACCCACAAAAGCCACCCGCTAATAGAGAAATCCGCGTAAGAAATCACATCTCCCATGAAATACTTGTCCTCCTTCATCCAGGCATCGATCTTTCCGAAATCATTCCTCAGTCGCGCCCATTCCTTTTCCTTATGAACACCCTTCGGAGCCGCCTCCTCAAGTGTCCTGCCGTCCAACGTATTCTTCTCTTTGGTGTCCCTGAAGAACCCTTGGCTGCGAGGATTCAAGATAGAGAAGGTCGTGACAACTGTGAATTGGCAGAGAGCGCCAAATTTATTTTCCAGGGCGTCGTTGAAAGCATAATGGAATGCGTCGGTTCCGAGGGGGATGGCGGTAGGCGTGTCAGGGTAGGTTTTGTCGAGGTATCGCGCGATCTCGGCCGAGTCTGATATGACAGCTCCAGTTGAAGCGTCGTGAAGGACAGGAAGAGTGTAATGGGATGTTACTCCGTCGCGTTTAGTAAGGTGGGATTTAGTCCCGGTTTTCGCGTACAGCAGTTCGATATCGGGGTATTCGACCCATTCTGTTTGATAGGGGAGGCCCTTGTAGTTGAGGACGTATCTATGATAAATGCGTGTCAGTAAGCATCTTTCATAGTAAAACGTAGATATGAACATGCCTGGCTTTCCAGACATTAGGGGACCAAGCGTTGCCTGGGGCAGTTGAGGGTATATCGTACAGAGTGATAGGCGCGGACATTTTAGACGATGAGAATGAAGAATTATCTCTCAGTATATATAGGAGTCAAAAGATCGGCTTTCATGGGGGGTTGTCATATGCGTAGGTTAATTGACAATTGCTTGGACCGTCTGATTGGTCCTGATGAAATAAACTCCATCGGATTCCCGTCGACACGAAAACACGCATCGCATTACTGCTCTGTTTTGATACATCGTGAAGGCCTATAGCAGTGGCGGATTTTTGATTCTGGTAGATGATCTCCATTTAATAATGCGGCTTCAAGCCAAAAGCTACCACAAGAAGGGTGAACTAGAAGCCATCCTGACTTAGGCGTTTCTGCGCCATTATAGATATTCAAGTAGTAACCGCTCTCCCAGAAGATGAGCCTTCTGAGGCTCATGGAAATTGAAATTGTAAGGTGAGCATGATCCCAACTTGATTTGAATCAAGTCCGACCCAATGAACCCAGGACTGGTTTATGTCAATGACTGCGAATCAGACTGTTCTCCTGTTCGAAGGAAAGCTGTCCTGGATTCCATTAGAGGTAAGTATTCGTGACAATCGTTGTTCCGAGTCAAGAGTTCATGATAGTGGATGATTAGTGATGATCAGAGTGTTTAAGTCCCGATTTGGCAATGAACGCCAAACTCTTTGGGCCGGTAATCTAAGCCGAATTATTCTGTCCACAATTAGTATTCAATTTCAGCTTACGGTTTTATCGGAAGAGGAAGGTATTTCCGCCATGGGTAATGACTGGTTTCAAATATCAAGGAAGTGTGCGTTCAAGCGAAGAATTAAACCCTTTCCAGATGGCCTTGCGAGACTCAAGAAAAAGCATGACATGGAATAAATTAGGGATTATTACTATTAACTGACAGAGAGGGTTGAATTAACGGGCTTAGTACGAGCCACCAGAAATCTATTCTCAAAGTCAGGAGACAATCAAAACCAAGAAAGAACGGATACATACAGTAGCATCGTCGCTGTCAACCGTACCCTCTGAGCCGCCTGTGATCTTCAATTTGGAGAAGTCCCATGTTCTGCATAGGATAGGATCAGGATCCAAGTAACGCGGTCGTCGATGGTGCTTACCCAGAACAGGCTCCGCAATCGATCGTCAGACGCTTGGCATCGTCTCCAACCCTAGCGAAGATTTGCATGAGTACAACGACGGCATGAACGAGACGCTTGACTCACGTGATGGTCGTGGTGCTTCCAGTGAAGTTGATATCTCTGTCAGAATATATGAAAAGCCGTAATCATAGCCTGGACATCAACCTGACTCACGAAATGGGGCCACCAGTTCCGGGGGTACCGTCATCGTCGGGGTATGACTGGGTGATCAAGACACCGTATTTGTCGATGCCGGTGATGGTATTTCTGTATGGACGAGCATAAGAGAGCTGGAGCAACAGCTGCAGTATACTCACCCAGAGTACGTGATGTCAGACACAGACGCATCAGTGGCTGAAGCTTTGACCTTGATTCTGAGTAGGCAATTCAGAAGAGTGAACACCACAATAAAGCCTCAGATACTTTACCTCAATCCGTACATCGAGTCCTTAACGGTGTTCCCAGAGATCGTCACGTCTGATACGGAATTGTCACTGGAGATGGAACCGATTGAAATGCCATGGCCGCCAGAGCACGTGTTGTCCTCGAAACTGGTGAATTCATCAGGTAAGCGGCTACTTTCACGAATGGAATGTCACATACACGATGCTAGAGCCATCATTGATAGCAAGGCAGTCATCCTGGTTCTTCACGACAGAGTTCTTAATAGTCACGTCATCTGCGGAAACGTCGAAACCCTGCAAATCATCAGCTTTGGAGTAATAGGATATGAAACAGTACCCACATCGGTGTTGGCACCGAGATCATCGGTATCTCCATCGCTGTTGTCGACCTATGAAGGTCAGGTAAGCCTCTGACAGACGAACGAAAGGAATTCGGCGTACCGTGATGCTGTCGAAGACGAGGCCGTCACTGTTACCGATGGAGATAGCCTGAGCGGGGCTGTTCAATACCGTGAAGTCAGAGTAGGTGCCGGAGCCCTTGAACCTAGGTCCAGCGTCAGGTGCTAGAACATCATTGCGAACATGAAAGGACGTGCTTCAAGAGCGGGTGAGGCTTGTCGACACCGCCGTCTGTGCCTTCTCCATCCCAGTAGTCGGCACCATTTCCCTGTCAAGGCCATTGTAACATTGAAGCGGTAAAATAATGAAACGGTGCTCACGTCGAATGAGTATCCTGCGCCATTGAATGTGATGTCGTCGCCGTCGATGGTGAATAATGGTCCATCGCCTGGGAGAGCATCGACCCGGTCAGATCCCGGTCAGATAACTATGAGAGGTACGCACTAGAAGTCTTGGCGAAGGTGATGTCGCCAGCCATGGTGATGGTCGCGCCTGATTTGGGCTAATGGAAATACATGAGATATATTTGATGCTTGGTCGAAAGGGACGTACAGAGAGTGACAATGTGCCTGGAGATCATTGCGGTCAGCAAGGAAATGTAAAGGAGTGTCCTTGGACTTACTTCCGCTAGGAACAGTGAAGGCAGAGATGGTAACCGAAGAGCAACTCGAGATGGATGAAGCGGTCGATACAGACGAAATCGTGCAACTTGAACGCTCCTCCAGTTCTTCAGTCGGGATAGCCGACACGACCGCAAGCACTGCGGCGGTAAAGACGAACTGGCGGAAAGCGTGTGTGAACATGATGAATGAAGGTGAGAGATGCAAAAGACTGAAAGCAAACCAGAGATGCTGAATACTCCGACCTCGACATCTCCTGATTTTTATACCGTTCAAACGACTGTGCTGGAATATTCACGGAGGTGGACGCCTAAAAAGAAACTTCTGCAAAGAATGCATAGATGATCTGCATGCTGAAACGAGGTTGACATAATATTCTGTGAGATCTTTTCAGCCACCCATAGCGACCCGGCGCCCTTGGCGTCGTCCGAAAGTCCGAGTAACAAGCACCCCGCCTTCAGCCGTGGAAAACAATCTCCAATGCGTCCTCTATGGAACAAACGGTTATAGGAAAACACATAAGTTTTGTAGCATTGTATGAATTTTCATACCAAGAAGTCTTTTCCGGCCCACCTGGTGTGAACACACGGATGCTGGTTTCGCATCCGACTCCATTCACTAAGTACATCTTCCCCTCCAGGGCCATCCAGACCATCTCTCGTCTAAGCGGCACGGTTAAATTTTCCGAGAATGTGCAAGATACAAATAATTCCGCTTTTTGCAACCGATGTACTAGTGCTATAGCATACAACCCACAAGGTCCCGATCCCGGTACACCTGGATGGCAGCCATTTTAGTAAATGCAAGGAAAACAGATTTAATTCAGCCCCGGCCCGACAGATTAGAAGACTAGAACAATTTTGAATATTTTTTCGATCAGTGTCCCGCCTTTTGACTACGAAAATGGTCACCTGGCAGAAATCGGAGAAATAAGCCAGCGTCACTGAATAACTTTGGCACACCATTCCGAAAGCTCTCAGCTGAATTCCCTAGAGCAGATAGATTCGGCACAAGAAGCTGAGGTGACGGTGTTTACGATATTAACCGAGAGCGCCGCTATACTACATATTCTGAATATGCACGACAGCATAAGTGAGCAACGTTTCAAATCAACTATATCACAAACACTTGTCAATCAACAGCGGTGCATTTAAACAAGACATCGTACCGGGGTTCTCTTATGGTATCAAAAACGTTGTAGAATCGTATAAGCGTCTGTTTCCTGAGCTTTCAAAGGTGTCCAGCCTCATGTACCGTAGATATTAATAGCAAGCCGTCGACCTTTATAGTCACAGGTGCTTTGCTTTCAGACTTGTTGAAGGCGAGGTCGCAAATCTCACCCGAGAGGCTACGCCGTTTTTTTTTTACATCACAAACGTGCGCGGTGCCGAAATATCGGTAGCTATACAGTTAGATTTACGACAACATGCCATAGCAGAGTCAGCTGAGCGACTTTTCTGGACTAGGGAGGAGGCATTACGCACTGTATGATGGAAGCTTGACGTATTTTACCTCTGGAAGAAGAGCGAAGCGACAGGCTTGTTCTTGCTCGACATTCTCGGCGGTCAATATGGCTACAAATCGATTCATATATAAATGCGAATCCGATACAAAATAATGAGTGTAATCTGAGAAAACTTAGCAGAAGCTCCGATGACGAAAGCGCCACTTGCCAAGAAAACACAAATCCAACATCTGCCCACCCTTGCATAAAATCGGGATAGTCCCCAACAAATCGAGCCACTCTCCGATGACTCTCTTCAATGAACCAGCCTGGCATCCACTGCTCTGACGGCGAGTTCACTCCCACATGATAGTGGGTCTTGGCCAAATCCAGCAGCTCGTCTAAGTCCGTCACATCAATCGGCTCTTTCTCCTGCATATACACCTTCTCCGAGTCGACGTGGTCCTCCCACCCACGAAGTTTCATCAACAGCATACACATGAAGGGCATAAGAGGCAGATCTCGGTAACGCTGTACATACGTTATCCGACTGAATGGCACCAGCGGGATTTGAAGGTTCGTCGAAGCCCCAGGAGTAAGGATGTCCACTTTACAAGAGCGTATCCCCCGCCCTTTGGAATTAATCCGGAGTGCATACCACAAAACACGATACGTCGCCTGTGGATTGACGGAACGTTTGAGGAAGAACCTGTCATCTGCCTCAACGAGGAGGTCCTTTATGTCCTCGGCATTCACATCATCGTCGAGGACAACGAGGTCTACATCCTAGGCAGAAGGTCAAGTGAAGAAATGGAAATGATACCGAATATGCATACGTTGGGGTCTCTACCACTCATGCCGTATATCGAACAAGCAGCACTCCCAAACAGACAGCATTCGTACCCGCTATCTCGGAGAGCCTTCACCGCTGCACGGGCAGCACGCCGGACTTCCAGAGAAGAGAGCGGATCAGCGGGCATGGTGGTGGTGGTGGTAGCAGGTAAAGGTATTTTGTGGTACCATGACCGTGACGGTGAGAAGAACTAAAATGCGACGGCCGAGGCGCGTGTCTGATATTCCCACGAATATGTAATCCTTCTTGCACCTAGACCACTATCATCTGATTCTTCTTCCCCCCGCAACGATGGCATCCCTAGCAGCAATGGCGGAGCCGCCTGTTCGTCACGTCGACGGCGCAATGATGGACTATTTCATGATAGAGCTCGTCAATGCCGTCCGGGCATCTTCATCAGTCGCGATGGCTCGCGCAAAGAAAGTCGAACAAGAGATGGTCGAGTCTGGATTGATACCGCCGCCAGCACCATCAGCACCAGTGTTGCCTCTCAAAGATAATCCTAGGGACTCGTTGTCTAGCATTGCTTCGCGAAACAGTGCCGCCGCCAAAGCAAATCCAGTGACCGAGGCAGAGGAGGCGGTACGGATGCGCTTGGAGGCCATTGGGATGCACGTCGGTGCCAATTTTACAGAGAGGTGCGCGTCGTGCCAATGCAGGAGGCCGTCTGTGCTGAAGACCGATATAGACTTTGCTTGGAAAGGATGCTTTTCTCCGAAACGCTCGACGCCGTCAAGTTCATCTGCAAGGATATTTGGACCGCCTGTTGGGACAAGCAAGTTGATAATCTGCGGACAAATCATAGGGTCATTACCCTCCTTTCGTTGGCATTCTGTTGCTGATGCTGCCTTAGGGTGTCTACGTCCTCCAGGATAATTCGTTCAAATCAATCTCTCGCCTTTCTTCTTGGAAGGGCCGTGAAGATGCCTTGCAGCAAGCAAAAATGGTGATTCTATTTCTCTCTAAATTATACATTCTTATCGATGACATCTTGTAGTATGTTGCTTTACCAGCTGGTATCATCAAGGGCGCCCTCTCAAGGTTGGGATACAACAGCACCGTCGCTCCAGAAGTTACATCCCTTCCGCAATGCAAGTTCTATCATATTGTCCACATCCATGCTTTTGACCGATTGTTTGGATAAGGCACTTTCCAAGTCAAACTTCCAAAGTCGTAAGATAAAGAATTGCGCTACACGGCAGATATAGTAGGTTTATGCTTATTTAACTGCTATTCCTGGGAGTCTGACACAATAAGTTAGGAAGTATATGCACTCTCTTGCACGTGTGCTGGGGATAGTCGTCCAGACTTCTGAGGCTGAATGCGGGAGGTATGAGATTATGACTTGGCTCAAAGGCTTCATTCGGGGTGCTACGCTGCCAACGAACCACGGGTCTGTCACAACAAAGATTGCGTTTCTGATTACGGGCGTAATATCACGATGTATCAGCCAGTCAATAGTGCGTTCTGTATGCCATATGCCTCTGGATCTGAAATACTGCTTTATATTTGTCTTCGTGCGGACCGAAGGAACTTCATCAGATTGAGCTGTAGCATGCGGGGTGGAACAGTGATGCCGTCTTCGAAAACTGTTTGGAAATGGAACTACGTCACGCGAGCTCCTTCTCGCCTTTCATTTAAGCAGGGCTACATGTAGCAAGCAAGAACGTGGAGACCGAACGGTTAGTTTTCTTGTAGATCCACGTTCGACATGCTATTACAGGCTCCCAATACCGGCAAGTCCGCACTGTCGAGCTCGAGGTGAGTTTTCCTCTAATTTTTTATTTCTCGCTCCATGTCGACTACTAGCATTGTTTAGGAAAGGCTTGGAAGTCGTAAACACAACAACTAAACTATGTTACCTGGCTAAAGTTTGTCCACACACGACAAACTGTGACATCTACCCCTTCACTCAGCCTTAGATGTGACGTGCCTTCCCATCGACAGGCGCAAAAATGTGAATGTGTTCCATTCTACCTTCCAAGTCCAGCTTCCGAAGCGGCCGTGACGTATCATATTGAGCCACCTGTCTCCTTCAATATTGTCAAATCACCTTCACCCTACGATATTGCCGCAGAATGTTGTTAAGGCCAACTTGACTATATCGACATGTCAGAACTACTGCCCGGGAAAGCAAGTTGACATCGAAGTGCAATGACCTGCTCCTACAACGCGTGGCTGGTCATACCTCCTCGCATTTTCGCTCTCATTCTCGTTCATCAACGCCATCCACCACAGACCTTTCCCGTAGCTCGCGTGTAGCACCCCAGAACGAGATGACAGAAATTTTTCAAACGGATCATCATCAGCAACTGTCGCTATATCCCATGCCTTATTCTGGACCGTGATCGATGCTCAGATCCAGAGCCGTTCCACCAACACTGGATAATTGTTCATAAAAATGCAACAGGAAGTCACCCGGTATAGATTAGGCGTGAGTCTCATTCACCGTCCTTTATCACGATACCTGGTTGGACGATTTGCATACAACATGCAGACTCATTTATGATTTACTTGTACATGCCTGTCTACAAACACGCAGCGAATATTTATGTGCTTCTTCTTCCCACCGGTCTCATTATAGAACAGTCTCATACTTCTCAAAGTCCTTCACCAACGTGCCCCACCTACCTTCGTGCCACGTCAAGATATCCTTCCACTCTTCGCTATCCGCACCACATACGGTGCGAATCCACAAGATTGACGCACTAACCGTGAAATCCGCATACGACACAGTATCCCCCATGACATACCTATCCCCCTTGCCATACCATGCATTGACCTTGCCCAAATCCTCCTTGACCCTGGCCCACTCCCTCTTCCTATCCTCACCCTTCGGGCTCACATCCTCCAATTTCCTCCCCCCAAACGCGTTGGCCTCCCTCGTCCTCCTATAATACTCCTCGCTGACGGGATTCAAGAGGAAGGTGGCCGGTATTCCAACGAGCTTCCGGAGAGCACCAGACTGGGAGCGTACTAACGCCTCGTGAAAGGCGTAGTGGAATGCATCAGTGCCCGCAGGGATAACAGTGGGTGTTTCGGGGTAGATTTTGTCGAGGTACCGGACGATGGCTGCGGAGTCGGAGACAAAGGCGCCAGTGGAGGGATCGTAAAGAAGGGGCAGAGTGTAGTGGGGTGTTATGCCGTCAGCTTTGGTAGCGCTGGCTTGCACGCCGAGCTTTTTGTACAGGGCTTCGATGTGAGGGAACTCAACCCATTCAGTGCGGTATGGAAGGCCCTTATAGTTGATGACGTATCTGGACGCCATGGTGAGCGGTGTGTACTACGCTGGGAAATTTAAAGGAACGGACCTGACTTTATTGCCGTTAGGCGACCATGCGTTATTGAGGAGAGTCGAGGGGATGTCGTATAGAGTGAGAGACTTGGACATTTTGGATGATGATTGACCTAATCTCAGGGATCGACAGATATAGTGACTCGAAGACCGTGGGATTGATTATGGAGTATTTCCTGCCACTTGACGTTTTGATACTGTCACGTGGGCGAGCTGACTGATGAACGACGTTCTAGCTCATGAAGAATTCCCGCGGGTCCCCGTTAACGAGAAAGATTTGAAATCAGAACGTGACTCTTCTCTTACCACCCTTGTCCGAGTCGTGTATGGGAAGGAAATTTCTTCCATTTGACTGGATCGCTTGCCGTGTCAAGTGGTGAGAGACGAGTATAGAACCGTGTTAATTTCCTTCGCGACAAGAGGTGCTGATGGTACTGGTTTTACGGAGATTTCTCTTTCGATCAGCTCCGAGTAGTAACCTGAGGAATCGACATTTATACTCAAGAGGTGCTCTCATAATTTTCCACTACTTGATGCTCCGGTATTGACATGTGTGCGGGCCGACGAACGTTGACCGATAACCGATGAAGGAAGGCTATAATTGAAATTCATGTCGGGTTTCCGTTTATTATGAAGAAAAATCGGAGGGAAAACGTGACCAGACTGATGACAATCTTTCTCATACACCGTAACGAGTTCTGCGAGTTCTCATACCGGTTTCTCAGGCTATCTGAATCTCTCTCTCACATTCTGGCAAGCCTGCTTGATCATATCTTCGTGGAACTCGTATCTCTATATAATGTCTGGTAGCCGGGGCGGGTGTATTGCAAGTGGTTGCAGAAATTCAAACTCACACAGATAACTACACAACCCCGTCAGTAACCACCGCTTTGAGCAAAAAATAAAATAGCGTTTTCATAAAACTAGTTTACCTGTCCTGTAAAAAAAGGTATACAGGACGGGTACAATTTCCATTAAAAGAGGTGGCCAATCAGTGTTCTCGACATGTGCTCGCACTATGACCTTTTCGGGACCCATCCGATTAAGTTCCGCGCAATCGAGGATACCGAGTCCCGACCAAGCCCAATCAAACCGCGTCATAAGTGAAGGAGAAAAGAAGGAAATCTCCAGTCGTGAGCCCGCCAAAACACTCCTGAACATCTGAAATCAGCTACCTGCTCGTAGATGGAAGTACAATACCTTTGTATGTTTGTATTCTTAAGAACACCCGGACATATGAATGCTGCAAATTTTATTTTTGAAAGAGCCAGAACCCGCACCAAAATGAACGAAGACAAAAGAAAGACGTGATTAAGATACAAATAAGTATTCGCTTGCGATCTCCAATGGGTATCAAAATTTAGAGGAGAATCGCGAACACCACAGACGATACGCCCATAACCATCAGCGCCTGCCATGCCTGTGCACCAAAGTTCACTGCGCCATTACTAGTCTTGGCAGAGTTTGAATTGGTACTTTTGGCAGACGCCTCCGTCGTGCTTGTACTGGTAGTATCGGAGGCGGCTAACGACGTTGCCTCGGTCGTGGTCTGAACCGTACTCGTGGTCATTACTGATGCTGAGTACGTGGCAGAAGTAGAGTTCGAAGAAAAGTCAGGAGCCGCAACAGCAAGGGAGGGATCGACAAGGGCGCCGGTCCCCCAGGCGATATCAGAACCGTCGGGTTGAGTAGAGTTTGTGGGTGTAGTGCTTTTACCGTTGGTAGAGGCAATAGTGAAGCGGGTGACCCAGGTCGTGTTGGCAGCTGCAGGAGCGGTGAACTGATAGAAATAGATTGCAGAGTTAGGGGTCACCTGCCGCCAAAAAAAAAAAAAAAGATCAGTAACTGAAAGCAGAAAATTGCCAGTCCCACCCAGAAGGTATAACACTTACGTCTGGACATGTATAGTTGTATGAACCGTCTGCTGTTCCGTCTTGTCCTGTTGCAACCGCTGAATTACACATGGCATCATGAATACGCAGCACTTTGATACACCAGCGAAGATCTTACTTGTTATGTGAACCATGGCAGTGTTGCTCCCGGTCATCAGCTCGATAGCCATGTCCTTCCATGCCGTCGTCGACGATTTGTCTCCGGTCCATTCTATAACGCAGGTATCTCCCTCGTCATACGAGTCACCCGGTCCTGGAACGGTAGGAACGACATCGGCATAGGCACCAATGATGGCGGAGATAACAGTGATAGTGAACAGCTTTGAAAACATTGCAGAACGACTAGGAAGATTGAAAGATTTTGCAAGCCTAAATTAGAATGATACTGAGGAATGGGTAGGAAGAGAAAGAATGCTCACTCACGCAGGCCGTAAAAGGTTTAAAAGGGAAAAGAGCGACCTATAGGAGTAAAAAAGAATGTGGTGGAACCGGTGCAGCTAGACAGTGGACGGTGGAGGAAAAACAGGAGTATTGAGACATAGATGCTTACCGTGCGGAATCACGGTAACGCGTGACTGACCCTTTCAACCCGAAACACCCGGGTGCCTGAGCATAAGTCTGTCGAGTGGGAAACACATTCATTCACGACGATATCTTTTGATAGAAGGTCTCTTTTGTCGCTTTCCTCATGTTACGCGCAATATCTATATCGTCCAACTGAATGTCCTTTACGTTACTGCGGTATAAATCTCTGGGGATACGTAATGCAGTTAACCTTGCAGTTCCTGAATAGGACCGGCCGAGACTAAGTACCAGCATTGCTAAACAATTGTTCTCGCCATTTGAATTACCTTAGTCTACAGGAAATTAGCGAACTAGATGATGTACCAGAAATATAACTAAGTAACCCGAGCCATTCTTTTGACTCTCGTTGCAAAGGAAGTACAGCTTAGTACGCTAACCAAAAACGAGACAGCAATGTGAGTCATTGCGGAGTAATATCCATAAACTCAGACTGGTTAGACATCGAAGGTGGATACGCAGGAACAAAAATGGCGCCAAAGACAGACGATCGGGAGCGTTCATCCGGACAGGACAACTAGGAAACGAGAGGCTCGCCCCAGAGCCAGAAGAAGACGAGGGCGACACAGAAGATGAGCATGGATAGCCGCCGCATACCCACCACACCATGAAACATGACCAACCCAGCCGGCACCCAAGACACACTCGCAAAGCACCTCACGGCTTCGACCAACCGCAGAATTGAATTAATCAATTAGCCCACCACGGGGGCGCAAAGTACGATACATGTCCGTTACTCTACTCCACATTACACGCCAAAACACCAGGGGAACTCGGAAGGAAGAGCGGAGGGACCGGAACAAGAGGGAGAAAGGATCCTGAGGACCTGTACCTCCACCGCTCTTAGTAGTTAGCTTACTCTTTGCGGTTAATCAAGTGCTGAAAACAAAACAAAAAAAAAGACAGACGATCCACTCCGTTTCAAAAAAGCTGAACTTTTCAGTGTTCCAGATCGATCAGCGTGAATACAAAATGGTATCACACCCTGAACAATCTGGGCTTTCCTACTACTGAGGACCAGAATAACAGATGGCTGAGAAGTCAAATCTCAGCATACGTAATGCTAGGCACAGCATCCATACAGCGCAGTGATTTTGGTAGCAGCAGAGAGACTAACACAGACGTTCCGTAAGTCAACGAGAAAAGATTGTATATGCTGGCTTTATGAGGGAAACACTTCGCAAGAGAATGAGACCAATCATGATGGAAATTATGCATGTAGAACTAATACATGAATTCCTAACTTCAAGGGCCAACTTGCCAGGTAGTCGCTGAAGTTCCTCATCCCTAGCTCCTGCGGCTTAGCTGCTTCTTGGGGCCTATGGTAGCACACAAAACCTAGGTTTCGATACACCGAGATTAACGTTAATTACCGGTAAGTTACTGGTAAGTTACCTTCTTAGGTTTTAATGAATCATGCCCCAATTATGGAGTGGTTCACTTGTAGTAATCATCACGCATCGCAGCCCCGGCCAGCGCTCATTTATCTCTGTCATCAATGTTCCGTTACCCTCGACCGATACCTGCACCACCTCGAACTCCCTCACGTTTGGAAAGAGCACTGAAATCGGTGTGATCCTCTCCAAGTTCAAAGCCACTGAATCTCGCATTGCCACTATTTTGGTAATGCCTGGTAAAGTGAGTCTTGAAATTGTTTCCCATTCATATTCGAACGGGAGCTGCACACAGGACACATTCGGTAATCGTGATATCCAATATAGAACACGATGAATATCCGGTTGTTTAAGTGTGATTGTCTGGCAAAATTTGTGAGCGCCCATGCATAGATCGCGTCCAAGTATCATGACCGATTTTAGGCTGGGGAGGGACTTTGGCCTCATAAACGGCAGCATATTCTCCAAATTTTGGATGCCCGTAGTGATAGTATGCAGATGTGGAAGTCGTATGTGAGCAGCATGTAAGTACGGACGCGGTGGATTGACTTCACCACAGAAGAACGTCAAATCGGTTATCGATGTATGACGCGAGAGAAACAAAGATAAGTTCTCTGCTGTAAACGAGCATGATCTGAATGCTACTCGTTTAAGGTGAGGGAAGTGTAGCCCAATGACATCATTCCCTTGTTTCTTGAAATCATAGTTATGCTCTAGTGTCAATGATTCAAGGGGTGATGCGCAAGCTGAGCGGACGAGCCAGTCAATGAAGGATGCCGATCCCCGAGAGATGTTCATGGAAGTGAGAGTGGTGAATGGTGGCGGGTTGAATGAGGTGGGAGATTCCCAGTCAGTGCTGTACTTGAAGGACACACATCGTAAACTGACAAGCTGTTCACAGAATGTGTGAAAGCGTCTTGCCCGGTCCTCAATATGCATGCTAGTCCATGCAATATATAGCTCAGTACAGGGTGGGAAGTCAATGTGCAGGCTAGGATGTTGTTTTCGGGGGATACTCCTGTGGTATCGTATGACATCAGCAAGGTCTGCTATGAAACGGAAGGTGAACATCAGGGTCATTGACCGGATGTATGGTTTTTCTATGGAAAGCCCAAGGTAGCGTAAGCCAGAGAAGTCATTAAAAGCACCGTTGGGAAACACCCCGAATGCGCTGTACTTCTTCTGGATTTCATGTGATGGACCAAGCAAGTGATGGATTGCTACAGCATTCAGTCTACGAGAAAGGCATGCGAGAGCTAGCAAGTCCCTCTTATCGACGTGGTCGAATATCATGGATAGGAGTTCATTGGAGAGTGTAGCCAATGTCGACGCCGCCTTGAGCTCTTGCTTCATTCACCTTGTTTGAGCGACCATACTATGTCAAATATTTGAGTAGATACGATTTGGGAACAAGCACTTAAGTACTCGCAATGAGGATACTGATCAGAGGAGACTCTCAGAGTGATGGTGGTTTGGAACAGTGAGGCCTCCTAACCCTCGTGAGACGATGGCCCTTCCAGACTGACCGCTGAAACATCTAATCAATTTGAAACAGCTTTTTTCATGCAGGTCTAAGTTCGGCTCAGTAAGTCATCCCTGGAAGTCTGATACAACCTTTGTCGAAGGATCGCATCTGAAAACATCTCCTCTAGGCTGAGTATGGAAATGGGGGTCATGTAGTGGTGCTAGTGGCTGGGTACAAATCTCCCCTGAGGTAGTGATTATATCATCCATCTGTAAATCATGGGTAATATCCAGTACACTGACAGCTTCGTATCCACCTCCGAAGCTGATGGGAACGCATGAGCATCTTTGGTTTGCAATTGTTGTTGAACCTTTGTGGCTTTGCGCATTTTTCTGTTATATGTTTGGGCATGGGCAAAGCTAGGCATTCTGAGTAATCACGTTGTGGTGAGGCCGGCTTAACGAATACGGATGCAGCGGCCCCTCGACGACTTATTTTTCCATGCCGAGCGAATATTTGGGTGTGGTTGAACATTAAGCGATGGCCTTTAGAAAATATTGGGATCCGTTTTTGGTATCTAGGAGCAGGATTTGCTGTGGGGCGGGAATAACCTCCCGGTTCTGAGGCTTTGTTGGTCCTACTGGTTAGAAAGATGTTCAACGTCATCAACCACTTTCACTGAGCATGTGGAAAGACATCTAGAGGAAAAGAAATGCACACACGATACGATGACCGTCTCAGAACCGTCCATTCTACTGGCTGCAAGACTTGAATGGTCATCAGAAAGAGGCTTGTATGTCGAGATGTTGGAGGACAAAATGATTTTGTCACAAACGAAAAAAAAAAAAAAATTAGCGTAGTCATTGTGTTTTGTCATCAGGATACATGAGAGTTTGTAAAGCTACGATGTGTATTTGGCCACACCCTTGAAGATGTGCAATCAAGAAGTGTGAGAAATTCACTGGAAAAGTCATCCGGGAGAGAAAGGGGAGAAAGCGATCATCTCTCCTGCGCCTGGCGAGCGATGAAGTAACTCGCGTCATTAGGTACAGGTTACGGTCCTGGAGCTGTATGAATGGGAAGATGATGCTTTTCAGTGGCATAAGCTCCCGAAGACATTTCCATACGAATGGCTTCTGCTTTAACAACGGTGTAAGAATAACCTCGTACACGAAGCGATGGTTGACATCCTACGTGTCTGAGAGGAGTTCATCTAGTCATGGAGCCGGAGAGATAGAGAGTGGCTCGCATCATCACTACTCGATGTGGATCCACTAGATAATAGAAACAAAAACTGCACGTTAGAGAGCTCTAACTGAGCATTCCACATCGTAAGCGACGGACGAGACCGCAAAACCAAAAAGCAAGCTCACTTACCTTGACCCCGACATTTGGACATGACCCGCTCCCCCCCAAAATGTCAACCACCATGGCGTAGGAAAGACGTCAATCTGTCCAGTTTTAAAAACCAAATATGCTCAATCTAAAATGCGGGATGTTAGTTGTAGGAGGAGATAGCCGTGCCTTGTTTTCCAACTGTCCGAAAACAAAACAAAGAGAGAGGCGTTCAGGGCTGGCTGGCTATTTGTCATCCACTATCGCCACACAACTTGACATCTTGCTTTCGAGGTTCATGAGACTCCAAGCCACGCCAGTAGAAGATATGGAACTCGACTACATGGGAAAACCCTCGGTGAGCACATCATTTCATCATTGAAAGGAATGTGGGGCTCAATAAGAGCAGGCGAACTATGCTGTGTATGAGCCACTCCATGCGATATCTTTTTATAACATCTTCGACCAGTTGCAGTCCCTCTCGCATCCGAATAGTGTTGCTGATCCCACTCAGGACACTCCCGATAGTTTTATGGCATGGATGGCCTCACATCCAAGTCAGCATTCGGAGAAGTCATACGAGAACACCCCGCACCGTAATGATCCCGTCCGGTTCGATCCCTTTGGTCTGGAAGAGGAGGAGACCGATAACACAGAGGCTCACTGGCAGCGACACAGACTCCGGAGCAAAGATCCCACTGGGTACATCCACCAACAACCAGAGCGTCGGTCGTACAAACATGAACATGTCCCATGCCATGATGTCCCCGGAGAGTTCGAGGCTTGGATAACGTATCTCCTGGAGCGGAAGAGGGTCGATAGCGAAGAGGATTACAGCAAGCCAGTGGCGCTTCCACTCGTGGACATACCCAAAGATCCTGCCGGGTTTGACCGCTGGTTCGACTCCCTTGTGTCGAAGGCCGACAAGATCCTCCATCGCGGCACCATTCGCAATAAACAAACTAATACCATATTCGTAGATACGCCATTGGCTGGCCCATCGAGGTCGACGACGGCGATAATGGGTCATTCGTACCCGCAGCATAACCTCCCATGGCATCCGCCCACACCAGTCATCTATGCTCCTATTCCAGAAGTCCTCGCTACAGTATCCAGCTGGCTTGGTGGAGGGTCGCCCTTCATGCTTGTGCCTCACGCACATGTATCGTAGTCGAGGAAGGGAAGCGTGGTCTGAATATCAGGGCATATCTACAAAGTTCTGTTTTATTTCTTTTCAGAATGAGAACAGCATTCCAAACTCACTTCTAAGACCAAGAAGAACTGAAGGTACATTTGACAGAGCACTGAGCTTGATAATGTCGCTGCTGGCTTCCTCCAGATCGGTGGTTCCTCATCAGTGAGCGGAAGATAACCATTGCGCCATCTGATGGCGATGGCGAGGTGATAGAGGACGCTGCTGCTAGGGGCTGAGCACCAAGACCGGGATGGTGGTGGAAGGAAGGAAAGAAAGACGGAAAGGTAACGGATGGACAATCGTCACGGCATCGTGACAACCTTGTCCGCCCGTCAAACAATAACGCAGTATGATCCCTTCTAACAGAGACCGCCTTTTTCAGCTATCCGTGTACGGGCTTGCACTCGAAGAAGACTGGTAAGGTACCACCCATGCATCTTCTGGGCCTTTCTTGTTGCTTTTTGTAACTGAGCGAAGACACTGTACTGGCCACATTTTGTTCTCTACTGCATCTGAATCTCTGGATTGCCAAGGTAATAGCCATGAGGGATACTCTCCTGTATGTCCCCATTAATCTTATCACATTGCGACACTGACTCACGTTTCCAGATGTTGTAGGTCCTGCGAGGACGTATTCGCCTAATGATTATGATAGCTACACCGTACAGTTACACTGTCCTCATAAAATCAATATGAATGCGCGTCTCTGCTCTCCAACTGCTTCGATTTATATGCATTAACAAGTTCTCACTACGGTTTCATGATGCTAGAGAGGAGTTGGGGGATACTTTTGGCGAGGGACAGATTATTCATACGAAACTAGATTAAGGTAAGATTTCCAGGCTGCTCATTCATGGTGGGTCTAACCATTTTTATCGCAGATTATTGGAGAATGTACAAATTCGTCCCCAAGGTATCATCTGTCCACAGAGCACAATGGTCATCCTGATGGGCTTACAATGATGAGGGAGTTCAGTGTTAGCTGGAGATGGTGCAGACAGCCAGTATGTGACTTGCTTATATCACTTTTATATCGGTGTCTTTGTTTTAACTTGGACAAAAGTCAGTAGCTCAGCTAAATGAAACAAGCTGTCTCATTCTCTTTGTCACAGTAGATATTGCCACTCATATCTATCCATTTTCTCTGGGTTTTTTGCAGGAAAGATATGAGGATACAAAAAAGATGTTCATCATTGTCCATTCCATACAGGCTTGACTGTAAGCATTTCTAAACTCTGGAGCATCAGCTATACCAAATGAGATTTTACAACTGCAAATCATGAAGTGACTACATAGTTATGCTACTTCATCTCCCAGATTCATCTCTCATCCTTCCCAGAGAAGGACTGCAAGACTCCAGAAGTCTACTCATAGGCACCTATCATTTACTCATGACTTACACCTCCTGAGATACAGAAAACCTGTAAAAGCATGAACACAAAAACAAATCTGCAACTCTGCATGTGATAGGTAAGTAACAGTATATCAACCCCCGCCCCCCGTAAAAAAAAACAGCAACTTCACTCTTTTGAGGTTTCGTGCATAACCCTAGGACTAAAATAAAATCTTAATGTATACTCCCAACTGCCCCAGAGAGGCTCGAACTCTCGACCTTCCGATTGACAAATAACAGTCGGACGCTGTGACCAACTCAGCCATGGGGCACACAAGCTATTTTTTTTTAATTAGTCTGAGATTGATAATCATTGATATTCCCCGTCGATCTTTTGTCTTCCACAAGTACACCTCACTGTCCGGCTTTCAGATGAAATTGGTCAAGAAAGAAAACTGACAGAAAGCACTCAAATCGGATTTGACTGCGTAAAAGGGGTTTCAAGAACGCGCTGATACACTTAGTCTACAATACACCGCGCTATGTTAGCAGAGCTGGAAATACGTTCGCCGGTGGAAGGGCCGTTTGAAAGAGGGAGCTGTAATACAATGTCAATTCTTGGGCTTGTCCCCGAGCTTCTCGTGAAATGAGGGCATCCATTCGATTTGGTTGTTGTCGTGGGACGACGGTTAGGGACTGGTGCTGCGGGGACGTCGACGAACCTGGCTTTCCAGACGTTAGGCGTCGAAGGTTTGTGCCGTACTGGCCGAGAGGTTTCTAGTCTGGATGCAATGTCCTCCTTGTACAGTATATAGTTGGTTATACCTCGCCTTCTTCGAGCTCATTCTCGTTTATCCATATCCATTACGGATCCTTTCCGTACGCTTGAGTTTACTCTGAAGCGGGAGTGCAAAGCATCATTCAAACGTATCGTCAGCAATGTCGCTAAACCCTCGTCTTGTCTTGACCGTAATAGTTGTTCACATCACACCGTCGTTGTCCACCAGCATCAATACAAACCCGACAGGATTGGCAACAGCCTCACTGTCGTTCATGCTCCGCATCGTCCTTCCTCACAATATCTGGAAGTTCAGGGTTAAACGTTTTGCAGATAACATGCTGACCCATTCATAAGTTACTCGCACATGCCCACCTACAAACACATAGCAGCAAGTGCTTATGTCTTTCTTTTTCTCATTATAAAACAGCCTCATACTTCTCAAAGCCCTTCACCAACGCGCCCCACCTACCTTCGTGCCACATCAAGATATCTTTCCACTCTTCGCTATCCACACCATATATGATGCGAACCCACAAGAGCCACGCACCAACCGTGAAATCCGCATACGACACAGCATCCCCCATGACATACCTATCCCCCTTCCCATACCATGCATCGATCTTGCCAAAATCCCCCTTCAACCTCGCCCACTCCCTCTTCCTATCCTCACCCTTCGGACTCGCATCCTCCAATTTCCTCCCCCCAAACGTGCTGGCCTCCCTCGTCCTCCTAAAATACTCCTCGCTCACGGGATTCAAGATGAAGTTCGTCTGAATGAGAGCGAACTGCCAAAGAGCATCGAAGTGGGACTCTAACGCCTCATTAAAGGCGTAGTGCAACGCACCAGTACCCACGGGTATGACAGTAGGTGTTTCGGGATAGGTTTTGTCGAGGTACCGAGCAATGGCTGCGGAGTCGGATACGAAGGCGCCGGTGGAGGGATCGTACAGAAGAGGGAGAGTGTAGTAGGGTGTTAGACCGTCAGCTTTGGTGCCGCCGGCCTGGGCGCCGAGCTTTTTGTACAGGCCTTCGATATGGGGATACTCAACCCATTCGGTATGGTATGGGAGGCCTTTATAGTTGAGAACGTATCTGTATGAAGTAGTGAGCGGTGTGTCCTACGCAGGGAAGGGAACGGACCTGGCTTTCCAGATGTTAGGCGACCAAGTGTTGCTAGGAAGAGTCGAGGGGATGTCGTACAGTATGAGAGATTTGGACATTTCGGATGATTGACCTTATCTCAGGGACCGACAGATATACTCCAATGGACTCAAAGACCGTGAGATTGATTATCGAGCATGAGCTCACTATTTCCTGCCACTTGACGTTTTGATACTGTCATGTGGGCGAGCTGACTGATGAGCAACGTTCTAATTCATGAGGAGTACCCTCGGCTCCCCGTTAACGAGAAAGATTTGAAAGCAGAACGTGACTCTCCTCTTACCACCCTTGTCCGAGTCGTGTATGGGAAGGAAATTTCTTCCATCTAACTGGATCGCTTGCCGTGTCAAGTGGTGAGAGACGAGTTTAGAACCGTATTAATTTCCTTGGCGACAAGAGGTGCGGATGGTACTGGTTTTACGCAGATTTCTGTTTTGATCAGCTCCAAGTGGATGCATTACAATTCTTTACGAAAATAGATATGAACATTGAAATTACTCCAACGAAGTCTTCACGTTATCTGCGACAGAGATCTATATTTGATCTCAGTAACAAGATTCCGAAAAGTAAGATGAAGGGAACGTACAGGGTAATGTCATGATTATTCCCTCTAATCCATCAGTGATCATCAGTTTGGAGAAGTATCCGGTAGTGTTATCGATCTTCGCAGGTCAATGACATAAAACTTACCCAGAGACTCCACAGTCGAAGTCGGTTACTCCAGACGTCGAGATGACGGTATTCCCGAGTACATGTCGGACACTCGCTTGTTGCTGGAGGTTGTACTAATGGACATGACAAAGCCGCCCGAGCGCAGATCATTCTGGGAGTTGAGATGACTATGATGGAGGGCAACCTCCGCTGACAGAAGAGGCGATGTTCGAGCCACGTTGGCTCTGAGGTCATCGTCGTCACCATCGCTGTTATCGACCTGAAAAAAGGGGACGCAATTGACTATGGCAACGCGTCGGTAAAGAACAGTAATGGTGTCAAAAGGAGGTCCACACGCTACGATGGGACTCGGGAAGTAAAAACCCCTGCCTCCCATAGCGGTGGGGCCCTTTTGGTAACCTTATCGTTCTGTTTTCGATCCTCCTTGCTGCTTGTCCAAAACCAGGGTATCCAGAACCTTGCACGTTTCAGCGATAATAAGCTTCTGGGTTTCCGCAACGATTTTTTCGAATGAAAAGGAGGCGTCAAGAAATCGGACGCGAAAACTGTCGTGGCATCCTCCTATGCTAGCAGATTAAAGATCTTCGAACGAAGTAATCACGACACCAGACCTCGAGACTCCGGCTGACAATTGGAAGTCGAGAGCTGTTTTAGCTTCATGAGCCTTGAGGCGACATCTCGGTAAGTAGGACTCACCGCATAGACGGTCTTTTCTTACATGGCCATGACTTCTACTCCTCATGTATATCGGCAAGGACAGTCCGATTTTGGCGAGAAGCGGAGCAAATAATCCGCGCACAAGGCCACCGAAATCTGGGCGGTTGTAGGCTGCATGTCGATGAGTGGAGCGATAAAAGAGACGGCCCAGAACGAAAGGGGACGTTAAAACGACTCGCCTAGCACCGCTAATCCCGTTTCATAAACTCGTACCGGCTCAATAATCAGACGTGTGCCAGTGAATATTGACCCATTCGGAGCCAGACAGATTTGTTGCCCGCATTATCATGTAATTTTGAGGCCTCCCAGGTGTAATGGTAACGTATAAGAAATGTTTGGAGAGCCTGAGCAGTAGAAACGTGCTGTGCGACGCGACAAGGCAAAGGACCAAAGGTGGTAAGAGATCAAAGGGTATTCCTTTTTGTTCCCACCATCCCACATCGACGGAACTCTGGTGGGTTATGTTATGATTGGTGTCGTCCGCAACCCGCGCGAAGGAAATCGAGGAGAGAAGGTCGAGTCTGGGTTACATTCCCATTATCAGAGATCATCCTAGCAAGTTGTTGATACCACTGCCAATGGACACCCAGTGATCAAGGTAGAGAAAAAGGTAGTACGGTCATGCTTAGAGGCCATTGGAAAGTTGGATTAACAAGCAGGACCTCTGTCGTATTCTGCCGGCCGAGTTTGATACCCCTTTATGTTGGGATGGACTATATGTATTGAATACAAACCCTCTAGCACCCTCACCGCATTTCCGCTTATCGCTATGCTGTGTGAGGGTGAGTATCTACCTATATTACTTCGTTTGGATCGTCAGCTGCGATAATCTACGGACAAATTACAGTACGTATCTCAACATTCCTTTCGCTGTCATTCCATTCCTGCCACCGCCAGTTCCGAACGTTCAAATCGATCTCTTGCTTTTCTTCTTGTCCGGGGAAAGCATAATCGTCAGTCGTCGTTTCCAAATCGCCGCACCTGTCTGACACCCAAATAATTCTGCCTATGCAGTCGCTCGCGTCCTACTCGATGAGAATAATCGGCGTCGCATTATATCCTGTGTTTTCCGGGGCCATACGCAGCTGGTACCGGCAAACTAAGATTCGATGATTTATCGTTTTCCTGATTATAGATTTCGCCCGCGCGGACCGCGATAAAAATATATATATATATTTCGCCTAGTAACCCGGATCAAAGCTTCGCCGTGTACTTAAATGAGCGAGGAATGCCACTAACACGCAAGGAGAGTCGATGATACCGTGAAGCAAGCATATGATTGGACGGCACAATGCCACTCCCGGGGGTCTGCGCAAGAAAAGTTAGCTCGCCCTTTAGATGTCCCGACAGCTTCGCTTCTATTCATACAAGCTGCGGAATGCGTCCTTTGGTGCAATTTACTTCTAGGCATAAAAAACAGCCTTTTCTCGCTAGTCAGTTTTTTTTTTTTTTTTTTACCCATGACAACCTATCATACTAATAATACCTTTATCAGCAACCCTGGAACGTTTGAAGGCAAACTTTCCACGTATCATATTGCAGAAGGATACGTGTGTCAAGGTGGTGGCTTCCAGGAAAGATTCGCAAACGCAGCCCACAAGCATAGACGGACCCTCATTCTAACATCGTGACGCCGCCGCCGACGCGACAAGCGCTGAAGCTGGCAGGTACGGCCCGGGGTAACATACTCGGACGTCAGTGCGCCCTCCCTGTCTTTTGGGGCTGTCTCGGTACATGGCTCATCCTTATTACGCCCCCGCTGACCGGTTTTCATTCCCGTCTTTGACTTGAAAGGGTTAGCTTTGCGTGCGTGGGTTGCCTTTCAAACGCAAGATTCTCCGCAATGATCTTCAAGCCGGAACTCGTCACCCAGAGTAATGGGGGGGGCCCTTCCTGCCAAGCCAATCAGAGCGACCAACCAATCACGGTCCCCCAAACCCCCATCGGTCAGTATAATTAGCCCTCTTATTCGGATTCGAGTTGGATGGGACATCGGCATTCTCCTTTTACATACGGACCCACTGGAGCCCACTTCTCTGCTTGTGGCTCACTCAGGGGCTATTGGTTTTTCGAGCAAGGAGGAAGAGGAGGAGGAAGAGGAGATGGGGTGACGCCACGCTACGTCAAGCAAAAGAAAGTGGCGCGCGCTTGGAGGCGCGACATCCGGAGATCGTATCTCAGAACAGAACAGCCCCCCCCAACCCAAAGGTCTAGATCGAGCCAAAAAAAAAATGAAAGCAGAAGTTTCAGCGAGGAGTGGATGGGCGCTCTCCCCCTATACGTTCCTCGAAGCGGACAGGTCGGCATTGAGCGAGTGTTCTGTGTACATTATTAGCAAGTAACTGAAGGGAAACAGTGTAGCCCGTGCGGCCGCGCGTTTCTCTCTCAAGATTCGCGCCAATACCCGTCCCTTCCTGTACTTATGAATTTCGCGTGTCGTTGGTTACCGGCCAATTACCGGAGAAGTGGGGTGGGGGGGGGGTTCTTTTCTTTTCGCAGATTTCCCCCTCTGAACTCTGAATCTTCCCTGCAGGATCTCCTCTCTCGAGTGTGTTCCGCTGGTAACCCGTTCAACTTCATGCGTGCGTGGGGTCTAGACTCGGAAATTTAATGTATCCTTACTGTGGCGTTCCCAAAAATTCAAACTTTCCAACCTTTCGTGTGTGTTTGGTTACCGGCTGTTGCTTCTCTCCTCCCCGGTCCAAGATCTCGTGGAGAAGCGGCAACCAACCATGTATCCTTCTCCCATCCAAGATCCCGTGGCGACGAACTAGCCGTTTCTCGAAGACCTTATACGCCACGACGACTTCCACTTGACGGCGTTATTCACAGCAAAGCCCGAAGCAGCAGACGTTAGGCTTAGTCTTAGTTATTCAGACACAGCTATTGTGGCGGTCTGAGAGAGAGAGAGAGAGAGTACATACGAGGTCTATCAGCGGCGCGGAACGTTCTCTACCTGACGTATATGTATATGCGTTGCCTTCCTTCGCGTTGGTTGTCCCAAATTTTGCTCGCGTGCGTCTTGGTTACCGATACCTAGGCACGCACACTCGCCACCTTCGGGGTATGACAACGCCGAGAGAGAGAAAGAGGAACGCGTCCAGATTCCTAGGATCTCGAGTTCAGGTCCAGGCCAGGACGAAGGGTGGTAGGTAGGTAGGTAGTATGCGCCACTTGCTACGCAATGGTCTCTACCCGAGACGGAGTGGCCTTCCTCTTGGTTGAGTTAATTCCTTCGTCCCACCCACACACGTTCATTGGCCATTGGCTGTTCGACGATTTTGGTTACCGGGGTCGGGTCGGGTCGGGTCATTCCAGATCCCGCACAGATTCCTGAGAGCCAGCGTCTCAGTTCCGGAAAAAAAACCAAGTCCATCAATCGGTTCCAGATCCCCACATCCTTGCGCCCCTCCCAGGTTCTAGGTTGAGTTGAGACCCCAACCGATGACGGAAGGGAGGAGGAGGGGGGGCATCAGCCAGCCACTTCTCTACGACAAACTGACAAACGAATGGATACTTTCGACTTTTTCTTTCTTTTTTTTTTTTTTTCCCTCTTCCTCTGAGTTGCCGACGAGAGTAGTAATCCTTCCACCGTTTTGGTTACCGGTCATTTCCAGATTCCGAAGATTTCTCTCACCCAGGCCCAACCCAAAACGTATTGGGGTTCCAGATTCCCTAGGTTACCGGAACTTGTATGTGGGTTTGGAGGGGGGAGGGAACGGAGATTCCCCTTTGTCCGCTGGATCTCCCCCCCAGGCCCCCTCCCCCAAGATCCGAATCCCTCCCATTGGCTAAAAGACCTCATTCTCATTGGGTGGTGCCTGGAGGAGCGTGATGGTGGCGACGGTAGCGCTTCCGGGGGGGGGGGGGGGTGGTTCTGAGAACGGAGCTCCATGTATATATCATAAAGCAGTCTCGACTCGCGCCCCCCCATCTTGTGATGGTAAGATGGTTAGGTTTTCGCATCGCCATCGCCATCTTCTAGCCTACCCGCTCATCCAGTCTCGAACGTGACGAGCCGAGACCAGCTGCTGTTCATGTTTCACGTTCACGTAGGTGCCACCACGGTTGAGTTGATTACACCCGCGCCTGCCCCCATGGTTGAATGTTAAAAGCCCCGATGACGCTTCCCCCCCCCCCACCCCCCCGGTCCCCCTGAGGTGGATCCGTCTGAGAAGTACCGTCGTCATCATCTAGGCCTGGGCGCCCCAATCAGATTCTGTTCTGTTGTTCTGTCTTCCGTGTTCTGTGTTCAAGATTCCAGACTTGTGGACTTCGGGAGATAGAGAGATCTGAGACGTAAGCCTAAGCCAATGGAGAAAAGGGACTCTGCCGAGGGCTCCGGGAATGAAGAGAAAACACACGCGCCGAGAGGAGTAGGGTGGGGAGGGGGGGGAAATAAAATAAAATAAAATGAGGCGATACAACTTTTGCGAAATGAAACTAGACCATGCCCAGTGTGGTGGACTCGACCTCGACCTCGGCGTGTGTGTGCGTGTGCGTGTGTGTTTTTTTTTTCTTTTCTCAACAGCTCGCAAATGATAGGCAAATCATCCGTCTACAGAAAAAAAATTTTTTCACTCAAAGCAAGAGTAGTTAGTGTCTCGCAGCCAATAACGGCGGACGTCGGTGAAAAAAAGAAAAAAAAGGATAGCCAAAAACCAAATTTAAATTTCTAGGCTAGCTTAGTCGAGCAGCATGGCAGATGACGTGCAGACTCGGCTGAAAATGAAATAATGCAACCCTGGCATAGGACCCGTCTGCAGAGAATTACATCCGGTGGGACGTACAAACCTACGCGGGGAGGAGGGGGGGGAAGCTTCACAAAAGGCACATTGCAACCAATAGAGACGGGGCTTGAAAGTGTGAGAGATCCGACAACTCGAATAAGCATAAGCATAAGCATAGGACCCGCGTTCACACCCAAAAGTGCGAGAGTACATATCCAAGCAAACGATACGGACCAGCCTCGAAAGCACAAGTCACAGAGAAAAAAATGCAATAGTATTGATATCGTTGATAATGCATGCATAATAGTACAATGGTTGATGCGAGGATGAAGGATGCCGGGAAAAAAAAAACGAAAACACAGACCAGCACCAGCCCAGTACTACTCATCAACATCCATCCCATCCAACCCCAAGTCCTCCCCGCCCTCAACAACAGCCCTCTTATACAACTCCTCCCTAACCCTCCCATCCCTCTCCAAATTCCCCAGCGTAACCAACGCCTCCACCAACATCTTCCTCAACTCCGCATCCTCCCCCACCTCCCCACACGCACCAACAACCTTCGCCCTCTCAAAAAACCCCACCGCCCTCCCCAACCCCTCCCTCGCCTCCTCCGCCTCCTCGCTCCTCAGCACATCCACGTCCCCCGCACCCACCCGATCCTCAATCTCGTCCGCTCGCGCACTCCCCACGATCAACCAACACTGCCCCCGCGCACGCGTGATCGGTCCCCGCCATGCGTCCATATCAGCCTCCATTTTCATCTGGTTGAACACGCTGTCCGCCCACGACGCCCAGTACTGCCGCTCGTCCGGCCGCGGGAGCTTCTCAGCGAGGAGCAGAACCTCTGAAGCGATCGTATACAGCTCTTTAGCACGGCTGAATGCCTCGGGGAATGTTTTATGCGGAGCCTGTGCAGGCTGTGGCTGGGGTTGGGCCTGGTGCTGGTTATGGTGCTGATGCTGATGCTGATGCTGATGCTGATGCTGATGTTGGCAAGGCTTCGTCGCAGCCGCAGCACTACAGCACGTCGAAAGCGGCGTCGTCAATCCCTCCACCCCTCCGGCACTCCCACCGCCACCACCCACCGCCTTGACAATATACGGAGCAGCAGGCCCCACATGCTGCGGATGCGGCATATGGAAGATCCCCCGCGAAAACTGATCCATCGCCAACACCATCAAATCATTCGGGCTCGCACTCCCCAGCGTCATCCGCCTCGTCACCGGCGGCCTCCTCGCCGCGATGGCGGAGAACGGGCTCTCAGGCGGCCACACGGGCTCGTCGTCGTCGACGAACCCGCCGCCGCCCACCACCCCGCCAGAGATCGCCTCGTCCGCTATACACACAAGCGTCCGCCCCCACACGATAGCCATGCGCCAGTCTTCCGGGGCGTCGCACCCCGTGCCGTTCACCCGCGAGGGGAGGTTCTCCCCAGTCTCGAAGACGTCAAGCGCTGCGAGCCAGTACGGCGTCGGCAGACTCGGCTCTCCCGGCAGGGCCAGCGTCCCGTCTTGCGCTATGAGGTTGCCAAAGAGGAACAGTGCCGTGCCTAGGATGGCATGGAAGGCTGTCGGTAGTTCGACGCATTTACTTTTTTTTTTAAAAAAAAAAAAAAAGAAATTAGAACAAGGGGGGAACCAAAAGACAGGAGGGAGGGGGGAAAAAAGAGCGCACCATTTCCTCACTGTCGACTTTTCAATATTCCAATCCCTCTCCTTCTCTTTCTCCTTCTTCTCCTTCTCGACCCCCTCTGTCTTCGGCGCCGAGAAAAGGACCGACGGGTCCTGGTAAAAGATCAAAAACCTATGGCACTCATGCACGACTCCCCTCAGCAGGGGCAGCGCCTCAGCAGGGGTCCCTCCCTCATACTGCTCCGCCGCTTTAGCAAACAAATCCTTCAAGTCCATCCAATCCTCAAAATCACACGTCTTGCGGGCCTCAGTCTGCGCCCCCACGAACGCCGTCGACGTCGTATCCATAATCCGCGTACGTTTCGTCCAGCCGCTTTCTCTCGCCGGTTGTAGGGTGTTACTAGGTTCAGGTGAAAGCGATCTCGTAGAGGACGAAGGGGACGGAAAGGAGGTGGAAGAAGAACAAGACGCCCAGTCGTACTGGTGGTCGGTATCAGAGGAGTCGTCCGCAGGGGATAGTTTCCTATCAGGGACAAGGCAACGTGGCGCGGTTACACGGGCCTTCCATAACCCTTTTGGGCGGGGACGTTTCTTCGTCGTCGTGGTTATCATCTCTGGTCGGGAGGGATGGGTATGTAGGGAAGGAGGGAGGGTAGGGAGGGAGGATGGGTTACTTGTCTGACACCCTCACGGAAAAAAAGGGCCTTTTTATTCGAGCCGCTCAGGATGTGCATTCCAATCCTGGCCCAGACTGGATGCCTAGATTCACCCCGATCACTTTGATTTCATTGGCTCGGCAGTTGCCTGTCCCCCCCCCATCCCATCCCATCGAGACCCCCCCCCGTCCGCGCCCACCCCCCCTCTCCCCCTTCATCACGGCGGAGTGGACAGCCCCGGCTATCAGGTCTGGCCAGTTGCAAGGTTCCAGGCAATCTCGTTCTTTCTCTCTAAGGCTGGATCCAATCACCCATCACCACCCTCCACCAATGACAAGAGAATGTCGTTCCCCCATTCTGACGGGTCGCCCGGACGAATCACAGCACGGGAAGTGCCCTCCCCTCATTGGCCCTTCCAAAAATAACCCCCTCCCCCCTCCTCATTGGTCGTTGGCAGCGGCCAGTAACCAGAGTCCAGACTTTGTTCGCTCGGAACAAATATAACAAATTATCATATTTTATTAGTTTATTACCAACCCCGCCTCCTCCCACCCTTACCCCACTTGTCAGCCAAGAACCCAGTCATGTACTCGTACACCTCCCTCTTCGCGCCCCGTCTACTAATCGAATGGTCGCTATCCGTAAACATCCTGAACCACACCCCCCGCACCTCCCCATCCGTGAACATATCCAACAGTCTAGCCGAATTCCCAAAATGTACGTTATCATCCGCACTCCCGTGCGCGAGGAGATAATCGACGCCGTGCCAGCCCGTCACGTTCGATATCTCACTCGCAGCATACCCAGCCGGGTTGAGCGCAGGGAGGTTCATATACCGTTCCGTGTAAATAGAGTCTATCAACGAGTTATCAGAAATAGACAATGATAATGATGATAAACGGACATACCATACAACCGCCAACTCGTAACAGGCTGCCCAGCCAATCATCAGCACCAACCAATCAAATCCCAAAAAAAAAAAAATCTCACAGCAACAGACATAGCCAATGAATGCACCCCCGCATTCGCTTCCACAACTTTCGCACTGACAAAACCCCCATATGACTAACAGAATCAACCACCAATCAAATATCGAAGCAACCCAAGATCAACTCACCCATCCCCAAATACCAATCCTCCTCGGATCAACATACTCCTTCGCTGCCCACAGCCTAGCAGCACCGACCTGATCGCGCGTCTCCAGCTCCCCAAGCCGTCCTTTCACAACACCCCTCAAGCCCCGCCCCCGAGCCCCCGTACCCCGCCCATCCACCAGCACGACCACATACCCCATCCCACACGCCAGATACTCGTCCCACCCTCCCCTCTCCCACTTGACGTCCACCAGCTGGCTATTCGGGCCCCCATAGACACGAAAGAGCACTGCATGCTTTGTACGGCCCGAATCGTCCATATGCGGGGGCCTGATCTCCTTGGCGTTCATCACGACACCGTCCACCTCAATAGTGGAATAGATTATCGTCGGCGACTCATACTCGAGCGAGACGTTCCCCAGTCGCTCGTTGGTCTCCAACACGTACGAGTTTGCTGGGTTCCCAGCATTGACGACGCGCTGCCACGGGACGTCCGGCCCGCGATAGCTTAGCAGATACCAGCCCGCCCCAGGAGAGAAATCCGCCGAGTAATATCCAAGGGCGGTGGTATCCGTAAGAGCCTGCACGGCACCTCCATGCAAACCAACAGCATACAAATGCCTCTCGACACTGGACGGAGCGGCCGCCTCGAAATAAACCAAGCCCTTGTTCAAATCCACACCCTTGATCCCACTGGTGACCTCCCACTCCCCGCCAGTCAACCACACCGGCTCGGTCGCATTCGCCGGGCTAAACAGCGCAACATGGTTCCACCCGTCGCTCGTGGGGACAATATCCAAATACCCATCCGCAAGCGAAAAGACCGTCTGGCCAGGCTCGATCCATCCCTCGTCCCCCTCCTCGCCCTCCCTCCCGAGCCTCCGAACGACCGTCCCCTCCGTCCCCTTCGCCAAATCAAAATACAGGACCCTCCCCTCATCCGCATTCCGATTAACGACCCTCACCAACAACTCCTCCCTCTCCCCCACCCACTTGACCTCCTGCACCACGCCCCCTCCCTCCCCGACATCCAGCTGCACCGCCTCCCCCCGCTCAACATCCCACACCCACACCCCGACCGTCGGATTCGCATACCCCGGCTTCGGATACCGCATCCTCACCTCGCCAGGGTACGGCACGACCTCCTTCCCATCCATATACACCGGGAACTTGTACACCGGCACCTCCGTCTCGTCGAAACTCAAGTACGCCAGCTTCCGCGCCGGCGCGGGGGACCACCACAGCGCATGGTTGCCCCCGAACACCTCCTCCTCGTACACCCAATCCGGGACGCCGTTGAAGACCGTCGTGGACCCCGTGCGCGTGACTCGCACGACGGACGACGGGTCCGACGGCACGGGGAGGACGTACAGGTCGTTGGACTCGACGTACGCGATGGCGTGTCCTGTCGGTGCCCATGTCGCGTATGCCATCGGTCCACTCCCGATTCGCCATGTGGATTTTTCAGATATAGAGTGTACGTAGTACGTTCCGAAACTTGACCAGCGCCATTGCTAGCTAGGCGTTAGCGTACGATGATTAGTAATAGAACAAGCTCTGCGCACCTTGCGATAATCAGCCTTGAGTAAAAGATACTGCATATCCGGGGAGAGCCTCCAATCCCAAAACCACAGCGTCGCACCCTGCCCATCCCTAACGTCCTCCAACCTCACCAGCGCCCTCGTCTCATTCCTCCCCAAATCCACGAGCCTGATCTCCCCATCCTCCACGACGCTGAACACGCCGTCGCCCGCTTCCCCAACCCACGCAACCCTCCTCTCCTCCGCCCAGAACGTCCCATTAAACACATGCTCCATCGTCACCTTCCTCACGCCCGGCAGGCGATACACGCTCCCCACATACGTATGCGCCGCTATCACCCCTATGACCGTCGCTAGGCTCACCAGCACCCCCAGCGTCGTAACGAGGAACTTGAGCGACGCCGAGCTTCGCTTCCTCTACCCACCAATTGTAGCACACCACACAAACCAGCATAAACAAAAGACGTACTTTGGAAGTGATGCTTCTCCCCAGATCCTTTTCCACATCCACATCCACATCCTCTTCCTCTTCCTCTTCCTCTTCGTCCTCAGAACTAGGAACATCAAACGGTCCAGAATCATAATATATCGGCGGTTTCACAGAACGCGTAGTAGCAACAGACTCTGCAAGCGTAACCGCATCTTCCTCATCTTCGTCTTGTCCCAGTCGTTCGTAGCTGGTCATCGCCAGCGTCCAAGTTACAATTACTACAATCGGAGTTTGAATTCGCTACCCAGCCATGGCGTGGCTGTGCATCTAAATTAGGTAAGGTACTTCTTTACCAAATGCCATGGCGAAACCGGCCCCAAACGCAAACTGGGATCCCCTCCTGCTCATATCCCAGATCGTGTCGATGCAGACGCTCCACTACCTCACGCTCTCCCTCTTCACCCCGCCCCTCCTCACGCTCTTCGCGGACCCCCAGGCGCTCGAGTACACCGGCGGGCCCTCCAACGTCGGCATGATCATGGACTGGCGCGAGATGTCCGACCCGACGCGCGGGTGGGTCGTCGCGTTCTGTTGGGTCTTTGCGTGTTGCTTCGAGTGCGTCTCCCCCCCCCACCAACTCCGCCTCGTTTGATTATTTGATTAACCAACACACGTCTTCGCAGCATCCCCTACCTGACCCTCCTCATCCGCCGCCCCCGGCTCATCCTCGACTTTTCCCTCACGCTCCTCTTCAACCATCTCGTCCTTACGACGTACTATGCGGGCCGCGTCCCTGCGTCGGGCTTCTGGTGGGGGGTCGTCGGGGTGGGCACGCTTGGGATGGTCGTCGGTGCGGAGCAGGCTTGTGTGCGGAGGGAGATGCGGGAGGGGTTGGAGGTGCAGGAGGGGCGAGGGCGAGGGGAGGGAGGG